TCAGAAATTAATGAATTGGTTAAGGGGAGGGTGACTCTGGGTTAAGCGTCTGACTCTTGGTTTCAGCTGGGGTGGTGATCGCATGGTCATGAGATTGAGCCCCATGCCTGGCTGTGCCCTCTTTGGAGTCTCTCTCACTGTCCCTTTGCTTCTCCCCCAACCCTCCTCATGGTCTCTCTCTCTCTCTAAAAAAGAAAAAAAAAAATCTTAAAAAAAAAGAAATTAATGAATTGATTAGTATTCTTAAAAGCTTAGTGGTAATAGATCCCAAAGATAAACCCTTGACAAAACTAATCAGGGAGGAAAATTATGTAGGAGGAATAAGTAAAAAAGGAGGAATAAGAAAAAAAGACAGACAGTTAAACATAATATTTTAGGGAAATATAGAATACATAAGCTATTAAAAGTAAATTAAATAATAAAAAATATACTGTAATTGCCATCATTGAAAAGACCAACTATGGAAGAAACTGGAAATATCTTTTAAAAATTAACAAATAACAATTCATCCTCCCAAACAGTTGAGCCCAGATGTCCTCGTTGGGTGGCTTGGTGTTGGGGTTAAGTGTGCAGACTATAAAGAATCCAGCAGACCAGGATCCCTGCCCATGATGCCCAGCATGGCCTTGGGCAGCTACTTCACACCCCCACCCCAAGCCTCAACTTTCCCTTCTGTAGGGTGGGTTGGGAGGGCTCCTCCCTGTGGACCTCCTGAGGGTCAGTCCAGGCAGTTTTAGCTCAGAGTACACGCACCTGAGGCCCTCCAAGCCTCAGCTTCCCCACCTATAAAATGGGGCTGGGAATAGAGGTGACCTCGCAGAGTGAATGGGGCAGGTCCAGCTATCAGAAAGCAGCATTTATGATTTCCACTAATTGCGAGGTCACATGGGGGGATCAGCATGCCACAGCCCACGGGCCCACATCCCACCAGCTAAGAAGGATTTCTTTTTTAGAGATTTTATTTATTTGACAGACAGATCACATGTAGGCAGAGAGGCAGGCAGAGAGAGAGAAGGGGAAGCAGACTTCCCGCTGAGCAGAGAGCCTGATGTGGGGCTCCATCCCAGGACCCTGAGATCATGACCTAAGCTAAAGGCAGACGCTTAACCCACTGAGCCACCCAGGTGCCCCTAAGAAGGATTTTAAAGCGGATGGGAAAAGAAAGCAAAAGCAGAATATTCTCTGACCCATGAAAATTCCGTGGAATCTGGATTGCAGTGTCTGTGAATAAAGCTTCGAGTGAACAAGCTGTGCCTGTTTGTTCATGTGTCATCTGCTGCTGCTTTTGCCGTGTGAGAGCAGAGCTGCGCACTTGTGACAGAGACAGGGTGTGATCCGCAGAATGCAAGTGTGGCCCTGGTCTGTGCAGGGCAGGTGTGCCAACCCCCGTGTCCTGCAGTCACGGATGATAGAAAAGGCAGGGACCGACTGAGGCTAAGACAGCTGGAAGGGCGACATCACCTCTTGAGAGTAGGACAGTCTTGTCCATGCGGGGAACTGGGAGCTCTGAGGGGCTATGTGGGTGCTGGGGGGGTGCCTCATGCTCCTGCCCTTTCTATGCAGCGCATTTTGGAGGACAAGGAGGAGAACCCGCTCCCCGCTGCGTTGGTGCAGCCCCACACCGGGAAACTTTGCTGGTTCCTGGACGAGGCAGCTGCTGGACTCCTGACGGTGCCCTTTGAGAAGCATTCCACGTTGTAGCTGGCCCCAAGGGACTCTGCGGCGGGGACCACAAATGGCCCTTGTGGGCCAGGACCTTCCTGGGCTGGGGTCTGCTGCCACCACCACTCCAGGCTTCATTTTCAAAAAGCCGCCTGGTGCCGCAGGAAGGCCCCAGGGTCTGGCCACCAGCCCTGCTCTGGGGGCGCTCAGCCCACCGGCCAGGGCTCTGGGGGACCAGAGATTAAAGGGAGCATTTGCTTGAAGTCTCCACTCTCTCGTGGTCCTTGGTGGGTGGTGGGAGCAGGGATGCCCCAGTGAGTGTGTGACCCAAAGTCCTTGGCCCAGCAAGGGGAGGGCAGGGATGGGGTACCCTGGGTGAGTTTCCCAGGGTTGCTGGAGCAAAGGAGCACAAAATGTATGGTCGCTCAGTTCGGGGGTGGGGAGGGTCAGAAGTCTGAAATCGAAGTGTCCACAGGGTTGGATCCTTCTGGAGGCTCTGAATGAGAGTCTGTCCTATGCCATTCTTCTGGTGTTTGGTGGCTGCTGGCAGCCCTCAGCCATCCTTGACTTGTAGACTCATCGCTCCGGTCTACTCCGCTCTTGTCACATGTCCTTCCCCGTGTCTCTGTGTCCTCTCCCTTTCTAGTAAGGACACCTGCAAGTGGACATTGGACAGCCCTAAATCCAGGGTGAACTCTTCTCAAGATCCTTAAGAATTACAGCTGCAAATAAGGTCACACTTGGAGGTTCCAGGGTACATGTCATATGTGTGTGGGTGTATGTGTGTTTAAAAAGTAACAAAATTTACCATCTTAACCATTTTTAAGTGTCCCGTTTGCGGCATTAAGTACGTTCTCTCTGCCTTCACCGCCGTCAATCCCCAGAACTCTTGGGAATCTGAAACTACACCTATTAAACAGCTCCCCATTCTCCCCTCCCCCAGCCCCTGGCACCCACAATTCGACTTTCTGACCGCTCCGGGCACCCCCCATATGTGGAATTACACGTTATTTGTGCTTCCATGGCTGGTGTCTTCATGTCCTCAAGGTTCATCCGTGTTGGAGCCTAGGTCAGAACCTCCTTCCTCCTTATGGCAGAAGAACATTCCAGCGTGCACATACACCGTGTAGTTTCCCGTCCATCCACCAGCTGCCGCTTGGGCGGCTCCCACACTTTGCTCATTGTGACAGAGCTACTACAGACATCTCAAGACCCTGCTCTCAGTTCTTCTGGGGATATTCCTAGAAGTGGAAAGGGTGATTCATATGGTGATTCTATGTTTAAATTTTGAGGACCCTCCGTACCCTTTTGCACAGCAGCTATACCATTTTCTGTTCCTGCCGCTGGTGCCCAAGGCTTCTTCACCGCCTCACCAGTGTGTCTTTTGTTTTGTTTTGTTTTGTTTTGTTTTGAAAGTAGCCTGGGGACATATCCTTTTGGTGTACACCTTTCAGCTCATTACACACTTAACTGAGCCTTCCCTGCACACAGGGTAGTGGCAGCCTCTGTGTCCCGCTCTGCTGCAGGCCTTGTCAGAGCCTTGAACGTTGAATGGGCCGAGACCGCTCAGTCTGGTGTACTGGGGCTGTAGCACTTTCCCAGAGCCTGACTGTGCATATGGCCCACCCATCAGCCTTGTGGGGGAGGCTGGTGGGTGCATGGGAGCCCTCAGCCATGTGGAGCTTTGCCAGGTTTGGCAGCTGGGCACATCCCACAGAGGCACCTGATCAGGCTGAATCAGGTGGGGGTTGAAACCCTGAAGCCAAAACCACAGAAAGTGAAGTTTCCTTCAACATCTTGTCTGGGTTGGTCACTCAGATGTGTGAGTGAGGAAGTGGGACAGGGCCCGGGGCGGAAACATGAAGAAAAGCGAAGAAAGCAGCCCAGCCACGGGCTTGGGCAACAGCAGGTGGCCGTGCCCCCAGTGTTTCAGGCAGTAGCCAGGATGGGGGTGGGGGTGCCAAGAAGCAGAGGGATGTGATGAGAGGCATGGGGACCCCACATGGGGGTCCTTTGGGGCACGTCCCCTCTCCTCTCCCTGTAGCCGCAGCTCTCCCTGCCCCTCACTCACCTTCCCACCTTGTGTTCTACTGGAACCTGCCAAACACATTCCCACCTCAGGGCCTTTGTGTGTGCTCTGCCCTCTACCCAGTATTCTTTTCTCCAGCTTTGTGTACAGTGTGGGCCCTCACTTGGTTTAGGTCACCGTGCAACATCTCCCCGATCCTGCTCCACCACTAGTACTTTCTACCTCTTCCAGCTCCAATTTTCATCCTTACTTTGTCGTTATCTGACACTTTTCTTGGTATGCCAACTGAAGGTTCATGGGGGCTGGAGCCATGGTCTGTGTTGCCCACTTCTGCATCCCTGGCACACAGTTCAAGGATAACACTCGGGCTGGCAAGGAGTGATGTTTGTTGAGAGGAGAAATGAATCCTGGGGCATGGGTGAGGATTACAGTCAGGTGTTTCTGGTGGTTTAAGCAAAATGGAGGGTTAGCTCTTTCTCTGGAGGGAGGCCACCCAGGGTTGGAGCAATGTGAACTCTTCAGGGACCCCCTGCTCCTAAATCATAATTGTGCCACTGTCACTATGTGGGGTTCACCTCATGGTCCAAGGTGGACTGCATATGCTCCAGGCATCACATCTACCTTCAGGCCACTGGAACTCAACACTCCCCTCATTTGAAAGCCTGTGAGGTTCCCATTTGATCCTATTTTCAGCTTGGAGCACAGATTCTGCTCCTTCCCTCCCTCCCTTCGCCAGGGCTGCTCTCTGCCAGGTGCTGGAAAAACAGGTGAAGGGGTAGGGAGGTCCAACTAGCCTGACCCAGTCCAGTGCTATGTGCATTGATGGAGGACAGGCTGACAAGACAGGAACGCAAGGGACGCATTGCACCAGTCCATGGTACACAAACAGCCGCCCATCCTCTTCCCTGGCCCCAGCACAGATCCCAGGAACTGGGGGTGTCTGTCCAGCTCTGCCTCCCCAGTCTGGGGTTGCTGGGGACTGCTGGGTCAGTGCTGGGTCCTCTCAGAACCCAGCATCACCCACTGGGGGGAGGCACAATGGAAGTGGGAACCAGGATTTAGACACCCTGTCCCTGCCCACCCTCCTTCCCTGCCCCCCACACCTGACAACTGCTGTTTGTCCTTCCTGGTGTGGGCCCTGCATCCCTCCTCCAAAGCTAGGATTCTAGGCTTCCATACCCCCAGCCCACCCCTGGGGCTGCCCCAGGAGCCCCTGCAGAAACCAGCATTTCTGAAGGCCTTGGCCCCAGGGGAACCAGGAGGACGCAGGTGCAGGGTGGGGCAGGGCAGGGGTAGGGCGGGTATTCCCTCCCACCCCCGACACGTTTCACACAGTGGCCATGCTCTGGCTTCCCAGGGAGCTGGTCTCAGCGGCATCCAAGCCCCTCACTGGCTGCCCTGCTCCCGGGGTACCCCTGAACCCAGAAACCTGGGGCTTGTGGGAGGGGAGGGAGTGTCTGCTTTGTTCCCGAGGGAGACCCTAGAAACGGCAGCAGGATGGGTGGGCGGCCCTCGAGCCCCCTGGACAAGCGGCAGCAACAGCACTTGAGGGGTGAGCCGGCATGGGGTAGGGTGGGAGTGGGGTGGGCGGGGGTCAGGGCTAAGGTTGTCAGACACAGAGTAGGATGCCCCTACTAATGTAAATTGCAGATATGGGATGAATATTTTTGTTTTGTATAAGTATGTCCCACATTTTGCATGGGAGCATACTTATGCTAAAGAATGATACCTAATTTATCCAGAATTCAAATTTAATTGATGACCTATATATTTTAAAGATTTTATTTATTTATTTGACAGAGATCACAAGTAGGCAGAGAGGCAGGCAGGGTTGGGGGAAGCAGGGTCCACGTCGAGCAAGGAGCCCGATGTGGGGCTCGATCCCAGGACCCCGAGATCATGACCTGAGCTGAAGGCAGAGGCTTAACCCACTGAGCCACCCAGACACCCCAATGACCTATATTTTTATTTGGTAAATCTGGTAACCCTTTTCAGGGCATGGGTTCAGGATGAGGATGAGGGACCAGGTGAGAGGTGGCTCAGCCAGATCTCCTGGGATGGTTTTACTAGGTGGACAGGGACCAGCAGGGGGAAACAGGCTCAGATTCCAATTCAAGACTAAGAGTGGCTGGTGCCCTTACATGCTTGAGCACCTACAGTGTGCTGGGTGGTGAGGACACAGTGGGGTTAAGAATGGTTTCCCCGCTCCTGGGTTCATGACCTAGACCAGGAAAGAAGATCAAGTTACAATTACAAGAATGGCAGTTGACTGATAAGCATTGTGGGAAAACCCATAGGTTCTCCAAGTCGGGGGGCATGAAGGGGTAGGTAACTGCCCACTGAGGAGCTGAGGGTCAAGCCAGGGCTGGAGGGTTGTGATGGAGTTCATTGGTACGATATGTGGGAAGAGCATCCTAGGTAGGGGGAACAGCATGTGCACAGGCATGTGGTGTGTCTTGCAAGGACTCAGACCATGTAAGTTCACACCATAGCCCTGCCCTCACTCACTGTGTGACCTTGGGTGAATGACTTCGTCTCTCTAGGTCTCATTCTCTTATTTGTAAAGCAGGGATAGCAACAATGTCTATCTCATGGAACCATTGTAAGAATTCAGTAAGTTACTCTTTGCTATGTTGGGTTTTTTTTGTTTTTTGTTTTTTTTTCCTATAGTGGCTTAAACAAGATAAAGATTTACTTCTCTCACCTATAGAAAAGTACAGTGGCAGGCAGCCTCATATAAGTTAGACTCCTGAACTCCTTCCACATCATGGTTCTACCACTCATGGCTTCTGTGCCTAAGGCCATCTCATAGCACATAATAACTGCTGAAGCTCCAGGCATTAGGTCCACATTCCAGGCAGCAGATATGGATTTGTTTTACATACAGCCAAGTGCACACATCTTAGGGGAAGAGCTTGAAGGACTTTAACACTTGTTCGATCACTTCCTAGATCAAGATACAGAAAGTTCCCTGGTGCTGGGGTGAGGCTTTTAAAATATTCAGAAACTTTCCCCAGGGAAAGGGCCAGAGGAAACTGGGATGGAATGGATCTGTCCATTATCTGGATTGTGGTGATGGTTTCTAGAGTGTGTAAAGGTGTCAAATTTCATCAGATTGTATACTTTATGTAATTAAAGTTTATTGTGCATCAGTTATAAATTAAGCCTGAGTCGCTCATTTCCCCCGCCCCTGACCCCCACGTGGCTACAAGCAGTCTATGGATGGTGAGTGGAATCTGGAGCACATCTTGTTGGGCAGCTTTGGGGCAAAGGGCAGGAGCTCACCAGTGGCCTCTCTGCCTGTTATGCCCTCTTGTCGCTGCAGGCCAGGTGGACACCCTGCTGAGGAACTTCCTGCCCTGCTACCGGGAGCAGCTGGCAGCCTCTGTCCTGCGACAGATCTCCCTCGAGCTGGGGCCCAGGGAGCCAGCCGGATGTCAGCTGATGCGCAGTAAAGTGGGTGCCGCAAAGGGAGGGGTTGCTAAGGGAGGGAGATGGGAGTTGGGGGGGGGCTTTGGTTCAGTTGAGGGCCCTCCTTCCTTCCACCTTTACCCTATAGGAGACACCAAGACCTAGGGAGACTTAAAAATTCATTCTTTGAACAAACATTCACTGGGCACCTATAGCAGACCATGCCCTGGGCTAGATATATGGGGGGTGGCGCACAGCATTGGTGGAGGAAGGATCCTGCTTTGCACTGCCCCCTCCACCCCCAGGCTCACAGTCTGATCTGGGGAGAAGTGAGCAAACAAGTTAGCATGTCATGATACTGGAGGACTTCTGATAGGTGCTCTGAAGACAAGATGAAACGCAGTGTTGAGGGGCGGGGAGTTGGGGTGCAGGGAGGGCTTCTCTGAGCTGAGATGTAAAGGATGAGAAGGAACCTGATTTGGAAGCCAGAGTGGGAAGGGAATTTGAGGTAGGCGGCAAAGTCCATGCAAAAGCTCTCAAGGTGGAAAAGGCTTGCCTTGTCTATGGGGCGTGAAGCCCGCCCGTTGGACCCTCAAGCCCAGGGCACTCTTCCTGGTGTTCCTCATGCTCCAACCATGCTTCTTCCAAGAAGCCTTCCTTGATCACCACCCAACCCAGGAAGATCCTCTGGGATCCCCATCCTGCTGCTTTTCCAGAGAAGCCTTGGGTCTGCCCTGTGAGGGTGGGGGCCATATCCCTTGTGCCCACGTGATGACTGCGCATAGGAGGAGGTCAAGAAGAGTTTGCTGATGGAACTTAAGACTGTGGAGGGGCGTCTGGGTGGCTCAGTGGGTTGAGCCTCTGCCTTCGGCTCAGGTCATGATCTCAGGGTCCTGGGATCGAGCTCCGCATTGGGCTCTCTGCTCAGCAGGGAGCCTGCTTCCGCCTCTCTCTCTGCCTGCCTCTCTGCCTACTTGTGTTGATCTCTCTGTCAAATAAAATAAATCTAAAAAAAAAAAAGACTGTGGAGCTGCCCAGTCCAGCTCCAGATGTCTCCTGAGCCAACGAATGGCTCCATATGCCCTGTACCTCTCCCCCAGTCCTTGTCAGCCTGTGAAATGTCTTTGACCAGAGAAGAAACTGAGGCTGAGGCACAGAGAGGTGAGGTGACCTACCTGAGGTCACCCTGTCAGGAAGAGGCAAGGCGTGATTTGAACCTGGAGTCCATGCTAGTTATTGGGTCCCTGCCCTAATCAAGGGCTCTGAGTTTTCCCATCTTTCTCAGATGCCTTTTACCAGTCACACCCGCCCTGGACTGGAGGCTCCCCAGCCCTGTGGACACAGAGCCTTCTCTCACCTGGGGCTCTCCCTGTCCTGCTTGGGGCATCACAGGATGTTATCCCCACCTGTACCTCTTGCAACCTGTAGGTTCTGGCCACTGGGCCCAGGGAACCATTGACACTGGGGTTCAAACAGTGTAGGGGCATTTCCCCTTGCTTCAGTTTGAACATTTTATAATATACTTATTTTATACATCATTTCTATAACAATTTTTTAAGGATTTTATTTTTTTTAAGTTTTTAAATTTTTCTTTGTTTATTTGAGAGAGAGAGGTGGAGATGGTGAGAGAGGGGGAGGGAGAGAGAGAGAGAGAGAACAAGTGGGAAGAAGCAGACTCCCTGCCAAGCAGAGAGCCTGATGCGGGGCTCAATCCCAGAAGCCTGGGATCATGATCTGAGCCAAAAGCAGATGCCTAACAGGCTGAGCCATCCAGGCACCCCTCTATAACAATGTTTTAATGATATTATTATGAAAAATCTCAGACCTCAGAGAAAGTTTGGAGAACCATTCAACAAACACCTGAGTTTCTACCACCCCATCAAAGAATGAAAATACCACAAATACAGTTAATTTATTCATTGAATATTTATTGAGCACCATCTGTGCACTGGGCCTTGCTCTGGGACCCAGTGATGAAACAAAACACACACAATTCAGGTGGCCAGGTAGTGAGAAGAGCAACAAAGATAATAAAACAAAGTGATGTCCCACCCTTCCCAAGGGAAGGGTCTGTGGACAGAGGACTTGCTCTTTCACATGAAGGCAAACTACACCTGCTCCGTGACCCAGCAATCCCTCTTGTATTAGTTAGCTAATGCCACGTAACAACATGTCACACTGTCAGCGGCTGGAAACAACCCACGTGTATTATCTTACAGTTGCTGTGGGTCAGGAATCTAGACATAGCCTCCTGAATTCTTTCTTTTAGGGCCTCTCACGGGCTGCAATCAAGATGTTGCCCGGTGGGGGGCGCCTGGGTGGCTCAGTGGGTCAAGCCTTTGCCTTCAGCTCAGGTCATGATCTCAGGGTCCTAGAATCAAGGCCCGCATAGTGCTCTCTGCTCAGTGGGGAGCCTGCTTCCCCCACCCCCGCCTGCCTCCCTGCCTACTTGTGATCTCTCTCCCTCTCTCTCTCTCTGTCAAATTAAAAAAAAAAAAAAAGATGTTGGCCAGGGGCTGGGGTCTCATCCGTGGCTCAAGTGGGGGATGGGCTGCTTCCGAGTGATGAGGGGATGACAAAGCGTCTGCCTCCCAGGGCTGTGGGAGGGAATGAAGTCAGTTTGTATCTGGAAGTGTCCCAAACAAGTGCATGGTCTTAGCATGTGAGAAAGAAGAGCAGTGCGATCACATCAGTGCCCGAGTCCTGTACTTGGTGGCACCTGGGATGGGTGGAGGGTGTTTTCTAGGTGATCTGGACATGGGGACACCGATCTGGGCCCCCGACATCCACTGGTCCCTCCATCTGCAGAAGCTTCCCCGAGTCCGTGAGCACCGAGGGCCTCTGACCCAGCTTGGGGGCCATCCGCCTCGGTGGCAGCCGATCTTCTGTGTCCTGCGTGGGGACGGCCGCCTGGAGTGGTTCAGCCACAGGGAGGTAAGCAAGTGGCTCTTGTCCCTTCCATTCTAGCCTCACTATCCCACTCCCCTCAGCAGTTCCCAACGTGGTCCTCTTTCTTTTCTTCAGTCCCCTGCTATGAATTAAGGGTCCCTATGAGATTGGCCTGGGACGGGTGGCCATCTCTTGCTGAGCTGGGGAGGTAAACTGAGGTCCAGGCCAGGAATAGGGATTTACTCATGGTCATCAGCAGAGCTGAGGTTGAAACTGTGAGAGTCCTTTATGCATCACATCTGCTGGGGAATTCAAGTCTCTTGTGCCCCTGGGACTCAGTTTCCATCTCTGTGAAATGGGATGATGGTGGTCTAGGCCACATGGGGCTGTGAGGAGTCAATGAGATAATCCTCATACAATATTTGGGACTAGCCTAGCACACAGTGGGTGCTGGTGCTTGACTACAGGGAGGGAGGGAGGGGGTGTGGAGGACTTCCCTAGTGAACCCTAAGCCTTCTCCTGATCCCACAGTTGGGACATGGAAGGCACAGTTTAGACCTGTCCCAAGCTGGTTCTCTGGATGCCTTTCATAGGAATATGAAAATGGGGGCCATCCCCTGGGTTCCATGACCTTGACAGGGTATACCGTCCTGACTTCCCAGCGTGAATATCTCCACCTGTTAGACACTCTCTGCCCAGTCTCCTCAGGTAAGTTTCCTGGGTCCTCAAGAGCAGATTTCTTTACCTTAGAATTGTTGACAGTTGGGGCCAAATCATTCTTTGCGGGGGTGGGGGGAAGGGCACCCTGTGCATTGCACCGTGTTGAACAGCATCCCTGGACTCCACCCACTTGATGCTAGTAGCATCCCCCACCCCCCATGAGAGGTATGACAATCAAAGATATCTCCAGACACTATCAGGTGTCCCCTTGGGGCAGCATTGTCTTTGGCTGAACACCCCAGCTCTAGCAAGCAAAATATCCACTCTCATCAGAGAGAGAAGGAGACTTAGAACATTGGACAAGAATCCAAGTAGTAAAGGTAAAATAGTAAAACCTGGTGTCAGTGAGCATGTGGGGAGATGGGTACTGGTGGGTGGGCTAAGGTTGAAGGGCTGGGGTAACCAGGGATTTATACCTTCTGGATTATTCCATCTTACTGTGGTCCCATGTATCACCCTGGAAATCAGAACCAAACACTGAAGATTTAGGACACCCCAAATTAAGTAACCAAAAAAAATTCACTCATTTTGCCCCCACAACAGTGCCCCCAACAGTCCTTCCAACAGTCCTCTCAATATCTCATTGGTATCACTTTGAAGCCCATTTTACAGGCAAGAGACCCGAGTTTCAGACAGAGAAACTGCACCCTACACATAGAGCAAGCAAATGATTTGGCTGAGTTTGAATCTGGACCTGGCTGAGACCCTGGGGACAAGCCGGGCTCAAATCACATGCCAGCTCAGCTTGATTAGCGGTGGTTGCCCAGGCCTCTGGGTTAAGGAGGATACTGAGGCTGGGAAACAATGCTGGGATGGATTGCTGATGTCCATCGTGGGCCTACCTCCCCCTGGGACTGAGCAAGAATAAGGAGAGTGCAATAATGATGGCATGGCTCATCCTTACCGAGTAACTGCGCAACCGTGTGGCTCCTCTCAGCCCGTCATGGGTGTTTTCTTCTAGTGAATGAATGATTGTAGAGTGAGCGCATGAATGAAGACAATCCCCTCTGCCCACTTGCAGGAGAGCATACACAGGAAGAGTCTGACCCCCTCCTGGAAATGCCAGTGAACTACCCCCTGTTCCTCCAGCACCCCTTCCGCCGGCATCTGTGTTTCTCTGCAGCCACGGGAGAAGCACAGCGAGGCTGGAGGCTAGCCCTCCAGGGTGGCATCCGGCTTCGTGGCACAGGTGGGTCCTGGGAAAGGCCAGGCAGCAGTGGGTCAGGAGCTCTGCTCCTGCTGGCTATGGAGTCACCTCGAAGCTTCTAGTTTCCTTATGAAATGGATTGTGGGGGGAGACAGAAGCGACAACAGGCAGTTACAAGCAACCAGGGCTGCGATGGGGACACAGCCTTGCAGTAGCTCAGCCTGGGAGATCAGGGAGGGCTACACGGAGGAGGGGAGGAAGGGATGTCAAGGCTGGGGTCTGACGAGGATGAGGGGCCAGCCGGCTGAAGAAGGGAACAGGACCAACACATATGTTGAGCAGGTCATTGAGTGCACAAATGTACCTTTGTGGAGGGGTAGCGGGGGATGGCTGTGCAGCCTGGGCTGGTGATGGTCCTGGGGCACCGTGTTCCCTGCAAATGGCACTGCTCAAGCAAAGGTCTGGAGGCGATGAGGCTTGGGAGTTCTGGGACCCGGTGAGGAGGTGGAGGGCTTCCTTCCCGGGCGATGGGGAGCCAGGCGGAGGCGAGAGCAGAGGAGGAGTGGGCTGGCCCTGAGGCGCTGCCCCCACAGTCCTGCAGCGAAGTCAGGCCCCCGCCGCCCGTGCCTTCCTGGACGCCGTAAGACTCTATCGGCAGCACCAAGGCCATTTTGGCGACGACGACGTGACCCTGGGCTCGGACGCTGAGGTCAGTGCCGAGCAAGGCCGTCCCCGGGAACCCCTAGGCCCGCCGTGGCGCTCACGGTCCCCTCTCCCGCAGGTGCTGACCGGGGTGCTGATGAGGGAGCTGCTGCCGGCGCTGCGAGCTCAGACCCTGCCCGGCCTGCGGGGGGCCAGGCGCAACCGTGCCTGGGCCTGGACGGAGGTAGGCGCGGGGTCGCGGAGGTGGGGCCGGGACACGCGGGGGAGGGGGCGCGGAGGCGGATGGGGGCCCTACCCGGGGGCCCATCTTCCCCCTCCTCTCGTCTGTCCCCTAAACTCTTTCCGCGTCTCTCTGCGTCTCGGTCTTGGTCTCTCTGTTCTCGCACCCCCGCCCCATCACCGCTCCTCCTGCGCCTCTGGCCCGTGTGGGGTCCCCTCGGCCGGGCCGGGCAGCTCCTAGACGCAGTGCACGCCGCGGTCCTTGCCGAGGCCTCCGCGGGGCTCCGCGCCTTCCAGCCGGAAAAGGACGAGCTGCTAGCGGTCCTGGAGAAAACCATCCGGCCCGACGTGGACCAGATATTGCGGCAGCGGGAGCGCTTGGCTGGGAGGCTGCGGGGTGAGGCCTGGGGGCGGGGACTTGCAGGGAGGGGCGGGGCCGGGAGCCTGAGAGGTGGAAGAGGAACCCGGTGGGTGTATGGGTGGGTGTAAAGGGTGGGGCCGAGAATTCGGACCCCAGACCCAGCAGGGCAGGGCGGGGTGGGAGGAGGGGTGGGAGAAAAGGTGAGCACAAGGGACTAGGTGTTGGTGGGAGTCTGGGCGTGGCCGAGGCTCCGAGATGCGAGACAAGGGTGGGGTCAAGAGGGAGGTCCGGTCGTGTAAAGGCGTTGGGTTAGGGATGGAGCGAGGCACACCCAGTCAGGAGACTGGTGGAGGCACAGGCAGTGGCCAACCTGACTCGGGATACCCCGGTCAGATGGCGGAGGTTCCCACTCCGCTCAGTAACCAAGAGAACCGGCTTGGAATCCAGGCTTTGCCTCTGGGCGGTGGAACTTTGAGCTGACTGCTGCCATACTACAAACCTCAGTTTTCTCCTGTATAAAATGGTAGAAGAGGGTGCTCAGAGTCTGAGCTCTTGTCCTCCTCCTCGTGCTGAGCCCGGGCCGCCTCCACGCCCTTTGCGGAGCACCTTGTGGAGGAGACCTAGGCTAGTGTCCTCCACTCCCAGTCGAGGTCCAGCGCCCCCTGGAGTCGTGCCTGCACGGAAAGGTGGACACACAGCTGTCCCTGGTCACGCAGAAGCTGCTGAGCACCATGGAAGCCGTGCTCTCGGCAGTGCGGACCCTCCTAGCTCAGGGCATGGACCGCCTGTCTGGCCATCTTCGTGGGAGCTCCTCTGGCACGCAGCTGCGCAAGGAGGTGAGCTTGTGTGTGCGTGTGTGTGTGTGTGTGTGTGTGTGTTTTCATCCACTGGACAGTATATTGGCTTTACAGAAGAGTCGCGTGAACTCTTTCCTTTCTGTTTGAAAACCTCTTTTGAAAACCTTTTCTTAACTTTGTTGTAGGCTGCTTTTTACTTATTGTAGAACACCACGCTATGGTCATTGGGGCCACAGTTTAAACCATGGTTGGAGAGAGGAGTAAAATGACAAGAGTAGCATTTTACTAACATAAGTCTGGAGCCACCTACCTTCAGATTCCTCCTTTTCCCATTCCTTTGTTGTCAGAGGCCACCCCATCCCCTAAGCCAGTGAATTCTGCTCCATGCAGGTCACCTCAGTTTTTCTGATATTAAATGAAGACAGACTAAGTGCCAGGAAAACTTGAACTCATTAAGCTTCCATTTCATAATCATCCCCTCCAGGAACTTTCCCTGCTCTTCTCTGCATCCACAGCTATTTGTGTGGCCCTCCTCACAGATGGGTTTACACACCCCTGTAGTTGTTAGTCTATAGTTTATCTCCCCCAACTTCTCTGTGAGCTCCTTGAGGGAAAAGGCCATATTGGATTACTCCATTTCTGCAGCTGCAGAGCTCCCCAGCACAGAGAGGGCATCAGGCGGTGGGTATAGGTGTGACAAGGGCTGTGCCTATTTCCTCTCAGTTATGCCAGCACTGCGTGTTATCCATTTTTTCAGGTTTTACCATTTTATGTCCATCACACCATACTTGTTACTTTTATTATGCATTTTTTTGGTGGCTGAGGTGGGATGTGTTTTCATTCGCGTTTCTCCTACTATGAGTTGGCTGTAAGATCCTTGGCCTTTCTTTTCCATTGACTGATGGTATTTTTCTCACTTGCCTGTGGAGCCCAGGTTTACTCATTTGGGGAGATGCCATGGGACCCAGAGCTGATGCAGACCTGCTACCGTGAGGCTGAGAGAAGACAGGGGCGCCTGAGGCAGCTGGTGGTGCCATTTGGCTTCTTTGGAACACGGAGCCTGATGTTTGGGGCCCAGGATCTTGCCCAGCAGGTGAGGGGGGGAGAGAAGGCTGAAGGAGGTGGGGGCACTGAGTGGGTGCCAAGAATGTGCCGGGGAGATCATGATGACCAACAGACCTGGCCTCCCTCCCTGGGCTCCCATATGGTGGGCAGAGTTGTGGTGGGAACACATGGGGTGCTGTGGGAGCCCTGGGGAGGTGTGCAATTCATCTCCAGTGTTGGGAGGGCCTTCAGGAGGAGAGGACTTCTGAACTGAGGCAGCAGGGGGGAAAATGGGGATGGGCTGTGTCCTGGGTAGAGGGAATAGTGTGGATCAGCACCGGGAGGTGAGGGAGTCTATCTGCATTTGGGGAAAATGAAGCCATTTGGAGACATTGGGTTGTACGTTTCAAGTGAGGGCAGAAAGGTAGGAGATATGCCAGCAAGGTGGGTGGGCAGATGGGTCAGGGACTTGAATATGGGTCTAAGGGGTCTGGCTCTGTCCTGAGGGCAGTGGGGAGCCCCAGCAGGTGTGTGAGCAGGGGAGGGTCATGACAAGATTCAAGATTTAGGAAGCCCTACCTGCTGTGGGGAAGAGGGGCTGTTGGGGGCAGGATTAGAGGAGGCAAGAAGGAGGCCTGAACCAGAATGGGTGCCGTTAATGGAGAGAAGTGGGGTGCATTTGTAGGCCAAGGGAATGGGACCTGCTAATTGACTTGGTGGGTGAAGGAGACAAGGATTGAGAAGACCAAGCGCTGCCTGGTATAGTTGTTCATTTTGTACACTGCACAAGAGCACTCAGCTAAAGAGGTGGAACTCCGACCAGCCTTCTGCTCCCCAGACTGAGCACCCTGGCACCATCCTCCAGAGGGAAGGGCATTTTCTGCTAGATTACACAGAGGTTCCCACTGTTTGCATGACTCCCAGGTCCTGAGTGGAGGGAGAGGCTGTTTCTTGAGACAAAAAGGAAGTCGGGGGAAAGTGGCCGATCAGGTTAGTCTGGATGCCAAGAAGGATCAGCGGGGTAGGCACAGGACCCAAGAGGCCAGAGCGTGGGTTCCCAGGGGGCTTATGAGATGCTCTTTCCACAGCTTATGGCTGACGCTGTGACCACCTTCCTACAACTGGCAGACCAGTGTCTGACTATGGCCCTTGACTGCGCCCAGGCTGCCCAGCAGCTGGAGAAAGTCCGGGGGCGTGTGCTGAAGGTGAGGTCCACTGGGTGGGCATGGCTACTCCCATGGCCTGGGTACTCCGATGGCCCCTGGACCGGCTGCTGTGTGTGTCCGGCAGAAGTTCCAGTCAGACAGTGGCTCAGTGCAGAGGAATTTTACCCGTGGGTGGCTGCTCTCCATCTTCTTGCCCTTTGTGTTGCGCCAGCTGGAGGGGAGCTGCACAGTGGTGAGTAAGAGGGCATGCATGCGCACATCCTAGAGGACAGCCAAGGGTCTCTGTCTTTCTGTAAAGTGGGCAGAGTGCTCTCTCCCTCGGAGTCACTGTGACAATAAGAGACTCTTGTTCCCTAAGCCCTGTGGTTGGGATGTATGGCTCTTTGGGCTCCCACAATGCCCTCTGCTTCTCCCATGAGAGTGCTCAGCATTTGTCATTTGAGAGCTGGCTGGGGGGTGGGTGCATGCATCCAGGCATCGCATATCAGTGGGTGACATGGGCCTTAGGGAAGTGGGGAGGCAAAGAGGGAATGTGTGTCTGTTGGGGGGTGTGCTGGATGGTCAGAGAGGCTCTCGCTGAGAATGACACTCAAGAAGCAGTGACCTGAGGGCATGAGCCATGTCCTGGGGAAGCATGGTCCAGGCACAAGGCACAGCAGGTGCAAAGACCCTGAGGTCAGCCAGTGTCTGGTGTGTGGGAGGAATAGTGAGGAGGCGCGAATGGCTGGAGCTTGGTGGGTGAGGGCATGGGAAGGGGGTGAGAGAGAAGGTCACAGGGGCCTGGTCACACAGGGGCATCAGGGAGGGGTCTGCCTCGGTGGCTGACAAGATCCTCTTGCCAGGGAATATGGGTGGGAGGGCTAGTGGAGATGCCTGCCCTATGCTCAGTAAGATGTGATGTGCTGTTTCATCGCTCCCCACAACAACCGGAGGGCATATGGATCAAGGAGTCCGTTTTAGAGATGAGGAAATTTAATCCCAAGGCCCCCCCCCAGCTAAACAGGGTCAAAGTTGCCGCCCTCCCCTCCAGACTAGCCCCTCAGCCGCCTCTGTTCCAGGAGCTGCTTGAGTTCGAAGGAGACGTCCTTGCTGTGGGTAGCCCAGCCCTGACCGTCAAGGGCATCTATAAAGACATGGTCCAGGGGGTCCTGCTGCAGAGGATCGATGGAGGTAAGCCCCATTCCTTTATGCCTCAAGGAAGCCTGGTGACCCCTGGCTGTGTGTCGCAGCCTGTACCACATTCCCTATCACCTCTTACTTCCTGTCAATGCTAGCCCGTTGATGGAGGGTAGGACTGGGACAGATGGGGATGGGCTGAGCAAGTCTTCGAGGGGCAGTGATGGCAGTTCCCTAAAGGAGGGGGCATTGGAACAAGGCTCTGAGGAGTATGTAGGAGTTCTTAGGATGGGGGGAGGAGGCAAAATGCAGAAACTGGGGGTAGACGTTTATATTTATTCATTCAGCAACTCCCTGTTCTTTCCGGGCTGACACTGAAGCCTCCAGAGTTCTTGGATCTTCTGGGCTGGGCAGCAGCTCCAGAACCCTCTCTTCTCCTTCTTGCTTCGTCAGTTTGCACGTGAGCCAGTGCCTGAGACTGCAGAAACGTGCGCTGGGATGAGCCATGTGAGGCTGAGGGAATGGCATGGCATCCACGTGGCTGCTGCAGAGGGCATGAAGGAGAACGCAAGGAGAGGAGGCTGCTGGGGCAGGTGTGCAGGGCTTGAAATAACAGGCACAGGAGGTTAGGCTTTATTGAGCAGGCAATGGGGAGCCATGGAGGGTGTGTGAGCAGAGGGCAACAGTGACCAGACCGGAAGACAAGGAGGAGGCTGAGGGCACAGTCCTGGAGGCAAAGGACAGATTCAGGTAGCTCTCCCCTTTCTTGGGAGAAAGCCAAAGACAGTAGGGTTCTTCTGGGAACCAGGAGGTTAAGGGGAGGATGTCTTTGGTCCTTGGGCATCCAAACAAAAAAGACCCCTAAGTTCCCTTAGAAAAGGGGCTTTCTTTTTCTGTTCTTTCTTTCTTTCTTTCTTTTCTTTTTGGAAAGGGGCATTTTCAATGGAGGAAAAGCTATTCTCTAATGGGGGGGGGGGGTGGAAATCCAGAAACAGGTAACCTCAGAGAGTTTCTGTCCTAGAGATTTTACAGGTAGCGGTATTCTATCCTTAATTGACTTGTAATGTCTGCTTGGGATGCTGTGTTGGCAGGTGGGACTGGTAGGGGGCTCAGTGAAGGGGTGGGGATCAGCTAGCCTTGTCTGCTGTGAGCACAGGTATGGAGAGAGGCTTATTTGAACCACTTGTTTTGGATTCCTGGTTGAGATGTTTCCTCCCATCCTTTGTCCTCTTGTGACCTCTCTGAGGGAATGCATGAAATCCCCAGGTGGGTGCAAGGGTTTATCTCTCGCTTTAGAATTGAAAAAGGCCCTTGGTGCCAGTGACATGTCCTGCACTCCGGATGGCTGCTCGGAGGCCCCATGGGACCAGAAAGGAGTAGGTGAGGACATCACAAGCTCTTGGGTCATGCCAGTGAATTTTTGGGGAGTAGGGGGGCTTGGCATGGGGCGGGAGGGATGGTTGTAAGTGTGGATTCCTGGGTGGAACAACATATACCTTATCTCCTGACCCAGCCGGTTGGTCAAGCTCATGGAGTTCTCAACACTGCAAGGGAGACTGTGGTGATGGGAGCCTTGGGGCCACTGCAAGCAAGGGCTGTACTAGGAGATGGGTATAGGGAGCCAGGCTCAGGGCCAGGGCAGCCTGGCCTCCTGCTGCAGGATCCTACAACAAACTCTTTGTTGGAGCAGTAAATGCATGTAGGGCTGTGGCTGATGCTGCTGGCAGGGCAGGGATCCTCAGCTCCAGTCGTGAGATGGAAATGCATCATGGGGACTTCCCTGAGATGGGGCAGAAAACAGCTGGTCCACGTAGAAGCAGACCAGTGGGCAGGACAGCTGTAACCTGGATGTTCAGAACCTAGGGCGGGTGCAGGATTCTGGAACAGCTCACAGCTCAGTCCCCTTGAGTGTTGCTGTTGAACCCACCCAGCTGAGTGCCCCCATACTTTTCACCCACAGAAATTCTGAGATAATGTGTGTTGTTTTTAGCGGCTAACTTTTGGGGTCATTTGTTACACAGCACTAGCTAACTGATACTCTCATACATTGTTGATCTGGCCTAGTCATAGTGATCATAGTCGATCACTGTAGACAAACTGATGAGTATACACAAGTGTGGGGATAAATGGAGATTAAACTGTTTTAGAAAGACTTCTGGGGTCAGAATATTTGGGGATTCATGAGCAAGAATGAAGGATTGCAAACAGGCCCTTTAATCCATTTGACCAGAATGTACCCAGTGATGGCCATTTTACTTCTAGTCTCCCAACTAACTGTTAGTGCTACAGGGAATGACCTTGTACATACTTTCCAGGAATGTGCAGGTCTCTGTGGGTAAATCCCCCAGTGTGAAATCTCAGTTTCGAGCCTTTGTATTTGGCATTTTAACAGCAGTTTCCAGAGCACTCTCCACCTGGCTGGTCCCACCTGGTGCCCCTCACCTATGTGCAGGTGGCCCATTTCCCCAGCAGCACAGGCTACCAGCTGACTCAGGATTTCTCAGATCTTCTGAGTGAATAATGGTGTCTTGGCATCATTTTTACAAGCATGTCTTGTTGGAGATGAGATTAAGCATCTTTTTGTGTGTTTAAGAACTATTTTAGCTTCTTTTCTGTGAAACTTTGTTCCTCTCATTGGCCCACACATCTCCTGGGTGCTTGTCATTTTCTGCTCAGTTTCTTTTACTAGGGCTTCCATGCCCAGAGCATTTACTTTGTGTCTGGCATTTGATATGTTTTTGCCTCCTGATGATACTTTCTATTTTACAGATGAGGAAGCTGAGGCTCAGAGAGGAACTCGCCCTGGGCAGCCAGGCTCTGGCACCGAGGTCCAGCCACTCTGCCCACTGCCTCCTCCCAGAACATTCTGCAGTTGAATCTTTGGTCACCTCGGTCCTTGTTTCCATTGGGTAAATGTCTACTAGCACAATTTTGGAGTCAAGCCTATGCACCATTTCAAGGCTTTTATAACCCTCATACCTCCACTTCATTCCTCTCCAGAAAAGCTGGCCTCTTTCTTACACTCCCATCAACAGCATTTTTGCATATTCTCCATATCCTTTCCAAACACTAGACAGTTTCATAAAAGAAAAAAGTCAATTTGAGACACACGCATGCATTTCATTGTTTAGTTTGAATTTCATTCATGGTGGAACTGAACCTAAAAATATGTTTATTGGCCATTTTTATGTTTGTGCTTTTTTTGGTGTTTTTTTTTTTTAAGTGAATTGCCTGTTCATGACTTTTCCCTACTTTTCTCTTCAGGTTTTATCTTTTTCTTATTGATCTCTAATAACTCTTTGTATATTAAAGCTATGAATGCTTTGTTAAACAGGTTACAGGTACTTTTATTCTCAACCTGCTGGGGGCCTTTTGGATTTGTTTATTTGTTCCAAATTTTAACTTGGTATCAAGTGTCCCCGCTGAGAGCAAAGCATTTGCTGACTTCCCTCTGCTTGCCGGAAGAGTCATCTGTCTCCTTGGGGTTTGGCAGCTTCTCCCTATCACAATCCTTCCAGCTGCTTCCGGAGCAGATTCCGGAGGGATTTCCCCAGGGTGCTTCTCTGGTTCAGCTTTCAGAGGGGGATATGCATGCTGCATGGAGATGGTTTCCTCCAGTTCCTCCCTGGAGTTTTTAGCCTCCTCAAAGAGAAAGATTTTCTTCACTTTTCCTGACTTTACCCTCCAACTCAAACTTCTGAGATACATTTGTGTTTCACCACCCTTGTACAGCTGGGTGAGTTTTTTTGGTTTTAATTTTTAACCCAGAATGTGATGCTAATTCTACAAAATTGGAACAACAAGAACTTGTCATCCTGCCCTCTTTGAGAAGATCACTATTTGTGGGGCACCTGGGTGGCTCAGTGGGTTAAGCCTCTGCCTTCAGCTCAGGTCACGATCTAAGTAAGGGTCCTGGGATCAGCCCCGCATCAGGCTCTCTGCTCAGCAGGGAGCCTGCTTTCCCCACCCCTGCCTGCCTCTCTGCCTACTTGTGATCTCTGTCAAATAAATAAAATCTTTAACCAACCAAACAAACAAAAAAATCACTATTTGCTTTTGGTTCCAAAAACTTTCAGTCTTTTCTCAGTTGATCAGGGTATGGGACGTGTCTTGTCACTGTTTTTCTCATTTAATATGACTGATCTTTCCTTGTCAGGCCTATAGAGTGTAAAATTGTTTTTTGCCATTTTGTTACAGCAAGTTTCAAATACATCCCAAAAGCACACCCCTGTGTGCCCCCACTCGGATTCAGCAGTGACCAAGTGTGGCCAGATCCCTTTCCTCTACTCCCATCCCTCACCCCCTTAGTCAATCATGTAACCAGTACATTTTAGGGTGCGTTTCCAAAATATTCAGCTAAAAACTGAACTTGAACAAATGACCGTTGTAGAAAAAAAACCTGGAAAACAGAAACAAAGGAGAGATGAAATTCGAAGAGAGGAATGGACAAGGAGAAGGACATGGGGAGAAGGAAGGGCAAGTATCACTTGACTCCACTAGCCATGCTGGGAGATTTGAGGCATTTAGGTCAAGCCCACCTCCCTGTCTTTCTTACTTCAGTTCAGGCCCTACTGTCCCTTTGCGCACAAGGTCGCAGGACCCTGAATTTTACTTAACAGTACTGAATCTCTCCCCCTTGCCACCATATTAACAAATGTATACCTGAGCATCCTTCTTAAAACTTAGTTTTTAAGAACGACCCAAAAACAATCCATTAGAAAGTACATTGGAGCATTGGGAAACAATCCCTTGGTAGCATTTCTATGGAAATTCCCACCCCACCTCCGGAGCACGTGCTCAGAGCTTACAAGTATCATCTGGCTCCATCTGACGCCAACCCTGCGGTGTCGGTAAGACCCTATTTTACAGATGGACAAATTGAGGCTCTCACTGGTAGCCCAAAGTGGGGGCTGAATTTGAAGCCAGGTCTGGGGACGCCAGAAACCGTAAGCTTAATACCCAACAGCCCTTTGAAACCAGGTCCTAACTAGCCAGGTCGACCTGGTGGCAGAGACTGGGTCCTACACGAATGGAAGTGGCACGGCGTATCAGGCGAAGGTTCAGGCGGGGGCGGGTGTCGGGAGGCACCGGGCGTTGTGAGCTCTGACACCTTTACGGCACTGAGTCACGTGAAAAAGGGAACGCTAGGAGCACTCTGTGCCTTTAAGGCGGGAGCAGGGGGCGGGGCGCCGGGGCGGGACTGACGTGACTCCCGGTGGGAGTCGCGTACGCAGCACTGTGAGCCTTTAAGGCCCTCGGGAGGAGGGGTCCGGGAAGCGGGCCCAGACGGCTGATTCACTCCAGACACTCTCCTCCCCTTTAAGGCGCGCGGCAGGGCGGGGCCCGGTGGCTGGCTCAAGGCGCGGTCCGCGTCCGCCGGCAGAAAAGCGGCTTAAAGGCGACGCGTGGCGCGATGGCGGCTGCCCCACGCGCGTGCAGGCGGCGCTGGCGGCTGCGCCCCGTGCTGCTGCTGCTGCTACTGCTCGCGCTGCCGCCCCCGGGCGGCCCGCCGGGCGCCGCCGCCTACTTCCCGGAGGAACGCTGGAGCCCCGAGTCGCCGCTGCAGGCGCCCCGAGTCCTCATCGCGCTGGTGGCGCGCAACGCGGCCCACGCGCTGCCCGCCACGCTGGGCGCGCTCGAGCGGCTGCGGCACCCGCGGGAGCGCACGGCGCTGTGGTGAGCGCGGCACCCGCCTTCCCCGCGCCCGGCCTGCCTCCCCTATACAGCCGGCTCCACCCCGCGCGCTGACTGCTGCCCTGGCACCGGGCGAGGCGGGCGGGACCCACGCGTGGCCCCTGCTTGCTTCCCTCTTCGGGCCGGCCAGACCCGCTGGCCCTCCGCTTGCTGTCCCTCCCTCCCGGTCTCTGCTCCGCCGCTGTGGGACTGACGGATCGCGCTCTGGCTTCTGGTCCCGCGGTTGGGGCAGATTCCGGACCACTCGTGCCCAGCCCAGGGCTGGGCTGCTCTGCCGGGGACGAACCCTCAAACCGCCTTCGGGGCACTCACGGCTCCAATTAGGGGAGCCTGGAGCCCCCACGGCCCACACTGCATTTCCACTAACAGGAAGTCTTTTCAGCTTCTGCTGCATTGAATCCTGAATCCACCCTGAGTCGATCCCCTGCCCTCTAACCAGCGTGGGTGGGTGGGTGGGTGCGTGAGTTATGGGACCAGGTGGCCAAGGGTGGGGGAGTGGGCAGAGCTATATCGCAACTCGTGATTTCCTGCCTCCTGCTTCGGTTTCCTCATCTGGAAAATGGGGGCATTAATATAACTCTGGTTGCCTTCTTCTCGGAAAATTAACCAGTTAATGCACTCAAGGCCTTGAGCCTGGGATCTCTAGCTTGGTGCTCCCTGACCAGAACTGTGGTTATGGTTATGTTGTCCTTACTAGTCATGGCTGCTCATGTTGGCAAGTTAATAACAACTTATTTGAGGGGAGAGCTCTCCTCTTGATGTGGACTCCTAAATGCCCCACACCCCTCCATCCCAGATTCCCCAGCCTGGATAATGCAGGCACACAGTTGGTGCTTAAGAAATGTTGAATTAACCAGTAAGCACAGGCCTTTCTAAGGTGCTGTTGTAGATAGGAGACAATCGAGGATGGTGGGGTGGGGGTAGATGATACATGCATTTTTAAATTAAATCAACATATTTAGTCCTTAACATGGTTATGAGATCCTGGGTGCTCAGTGTCTGCTGTATTTTTCCCAAAATTAGCTTGTTTAATCCCATCTGCAGCCCAGTGCAGCCGGTCCTGTCCTCGTCTCTGTTTTAGAATAGGAAACAGGCATGGAGGAGGGAAGCATCTTGCCCAGGGCTGTATAAGCTGCTGGAAGGCAAGCTTTGGGGTGTGGAGCCCATGTTGCTTCACTGCTACCTGGGGCTGCCTCAGTCTCCCCAGCCTCACGCTGACTGCCCTGCTCTGCTTTGCAGGGTGGCCACAGACCACAACTCAGACAACACATCGGCTGTGCTGCGGGAATGGCTGGTGGCCGTGAAGAGTCTGTACCACTCTGTGGAGTGGCGACCGGCGGAGGAACCCAGGTGAGCTCCAGGTTCTGCCCTGACCCCCCTCCCCAAGTCAACTGGGCTGTGCCCTTATTCACACACCTTCCATGACTCCCCATTGTCCTGTGACAGAACCCCAGCGCTTCTGCCTCTGCCTCTCTAGCCCAACTCTGCAGCTGTACGGGCTGGCCTTGGCTACTCTGACCTGCCCTCAACTTCAGTGGGCCATAATCCTTCAGCTGGACCTTTGTCCCCACAGGTCTCTCCACCTAGAGTTCCCTCACTCCCTGTCCTCCTCGTGGACGCCTACTGCTTTGTTCCCAGTCTCACTCTATGCTTAGCTTCCCCATGAGCCCCTGGGCAGTGCAGACCACTTGTTCCATTCAGCCTTTCCGGGTTTATTTCTTTACCTGTCTGCCTACACATTCCCTCCTCCAGGAAGCCCTCTCTGACCACTGCCCTCTGGGTTGCCATAGCGCTCCATCCTTCGCACATCACAGCCGTCTCTCTCTGCAGGTCCTACCCGGACGAGGAGGGCCCCAAACACTGGTCTGATTCGAGGTACGAGCACGTCATGAAGTTGCGCCAGGCAGCCTTGAAATCTGCCCGGGACATGTGGGCTGATTACATCCTGGTGAGTCTCTCAGCCAGCTACTCTGAGATCATGCGGGACATCTGGGTGGCCGTTAAGGGAAGGGGGATCAGTGGGCTGTGGAGATCATCCTTAAGCCCGTTTACAGAAGGAAACAGGCTCTGAGAGGGGGGAATGAGTTGTCCGATGTGATATAGTTGGTTAGCGGAGGAGCTGGGATTCGATCCCTGGGCGCTGGGGTTCTTAACATCAGGTGGTGTCCCCGACTGTCCCTGGGGTTGCACCCTGGGGTTATCTCCACTTTATCGCCACCTCTTCGCACCCCACAGTGACATCCTCTGGGTGACAGCTGAGAAGCAGGAAGATGGGGTGGGGGTCTGGGGGCTGGTGGAGAGTCTAGGCTGCTGAGGCCTGACTTTCACTTCCTTCTCCTGGGCCAGCCATTGCCTCTGGAGGAAGGGACGGTTCAGGCTGGGACACAGTAATGTGAAGGTACCTGCCCACAGGCCTGTGCGAGCTCCTTGAGTCCATCCCCTTGATCAGGACGTGATCCCTTCCCCTGGTGTGGATGGGGCTAGATGGCACCGGGGCTGCTGGGCCTGGCTCCCCTGATGCCAGCCCAACAGAGCCTGTGGTCGGTTTTCATTTCGGTGCCAGACCCCGAGCTGTGGTCTCTACCTTCTTCCACCTGCCAGAGCCTGGGGATGCAGTGAGGATGAGCCCGGGCTGAGCCCTGCCTTCCTAGTGTCCCAGGAGGGGGGGCCATGACCAGAAACCAAAACCGAGTGAGGAAGAACTGAGAGCAGCCGGTGCTGAGAGCAGCGGTGCCGTGATTGTGGAAAGGCGGCTGCTGGTGGATCAGTGTCTGGGGCTGCTGTGACAAAGGACTCCTCGCCCTGGCGGGGGGGGGGGGGGGGGGGGGTGTGGTTGGTGGTGGTGGACTGCAAACAGCGGAAGTTCATTGTCTCCCAGTTCTGGAGGCCAGAAGTCTGAAGTTAAGGTGTCAGCCAGGCCCTGCCCCCCTCCGCTGGCTCTAGGGGAGGATCCTTCCTCACTTTTTCCAGCTCCTGGGGCTCCATGTGCTCCTGGGCTTGTGGCCTGTGGCTGTGTCCCTCTGTTGTCTGCCTCTGTGGTCCCTTGGGCCTAGCTCTCTGTCCCTCCTCCTCTTACCAGGTCATCAGTCATTGACTTTAGGGCCCGCTCGACTCCTGTGTGACCCCATCTTAACCTACATCCTAGTTACATCTGCAAAGACCTATTTCCAAATAAGAAAACAGTCGCAGGGTCCTGGGGGTCAGGACTTCAACCTTTTTGGGGGCCACCGTTCAGTCTACAACAGATGGCACAGTCAGGGTGTAGTGACGAGTGAGCAGGGTTGGGGGTGCCTCTCTTAGGAGGGAACCCTAGCTGTGACCTGAAGGAACAAAGAAGTCAGCCTCGGGAAACTGGGGGACAGTGTCTGAGGCAGAGGGAGCAGAGTAGCGTGCAAGCTTGAGGCCTTCAGGGACTGGTGAGGCCCCTGTGGGGGTGATGGAGGTGGTCCTGTAGTGGTGGGAGGGGGCCAGACTATGCAGACCAAGGCAGAGATTTGGTTTTTACTTTGAGGGTAATGGGGAGCCGTGGAGGGTATATGAGCAGGGGAGAGTTGTGTTCTGATTTATGATTTTCAGAAGCTTCGTGGCTGCTGTGGGGAGCAGGGCCTGTTGGGGCTAGAGGGGGAACAGCAGGAGGCCAGTGTGGAGCAGTGCTGTGAAGAAGGGCAAGTAGATTGAGGTTGCCTTCATGGGCCAAGGGGACAGACCCTGCTCAGGGACTGGATGTGAGGGGGCCGGGAGGACCCCGTGTGCCTGGCCTGAGCTCTGCAGAGAGGAGGAAGAATGGAACAAGCTCTTCCTTGGAGCCCTATGGGTTGATGCCTTATCAGACCATTTTATAGATGGGAAAATGGAGGCTTAGAGATGGAGGGGACAACGTGCTTGTTGGTAGAGTCTCAGAACCAGTGAGGTGCAGTGGTGGGACTGGAACCTCCTGGAACTGTCTAGCACAAGGCCACCTTATTTGCTTCCCTGGGTTTTGCTTTCAGGGTTTGAGGCTGGTTGGTTTTCACTTTTTTCCCTCTGCAAACTTGGGTGGAACTCTACATGTCGGTTCAAAACTCAAAGCAGCTTTTGACACACCAGTATCTTTTGGTAACTAGGGATTTTGGAAATCCATATTGGGGTGTGAAATCATTTGTCCGGTGTTTTAAAATTGTTATGAAAAGGACCTCTTTTTTCTTTTTTTAAAGACCTCTTTTTAAAAAGAAAAAGCAAAAAAAAAATTTAAAAAAGGACCACTTTTTTTCTCTTTTTGTAAACGCTCCAGGTGTTACTTGTAAGAAAATATACAAGAAAAAATAAGAAACCTAGGGAAGAAAAAAACAAGCAAACCTTGTAATCTTACCTCCCAGAGAGACTCCCTTTCTGGCTGGTTTCCGTGTTTTCTAATTGAGGTGCAATTCACATAACATAAAATTAACTGTTTCAAAGGGAACAACTCAGCGGCATTTAGTACATTCATTATGTCGTGCAACCACAACCTCTCTCTAGTTCCAGAACGTTTCCGTCATGCCAGAAGGATGCCCTGTCCCCAGGAGCACTCGCTGCCTCTCCCCGGCCCCTCCCCCAGGCTCTGGCAGCCACCAGTGTGCTCTCCGTGTCTGTAGATGTGCCTGTTCTGGACGTTTCTTATAAATAAGATAAGGCCATACGCTCTGTGGTCTTCTGTGTCGGGCTTCTCTCACTCAGCACAATGTTCTCAACGTTCATCTGTTGTAGCGTGTGTCCGTGCTGTGTTCCTCGTTAGGGCTGAGTGATGTTCCATTGTTTGGACGGACTACGTTTTGTTCATCCATTCTCCTGTTGATGGACACGTGGGTCATTTCCACTGTGTGGCTCTCGTGGCCGGTGCTGCTGTGAATGTGGGTGTGCAGGTGCCTGTTTCTAGTTGTCTCGGTGCATACCTAGGAGTGGACTCGCTGAGTCATTAGGTAGTTCTCTGTGTAACTCTTGGAGGAACCACCAGACCCTTCTGGCTGTTTTTATTGTGTATATAGTCAAAGGTCACACATACAAATGTTGGCAGGGGCCAGGCAGGGAACAGTCCCCGCGGCTTGTCCCAAGGGGCAGCCGCCTTCCGTCTCCAGCTGGGGGTTGGCTTGTGGGAGTGCCACTCTGGAATTGCCAGGGAAGGCTGGGACTCTAGTTCTTGCTGTTGCGTGTGGCAAGTGATTTATAGGTTTTAAAAATCCTGTGTGGGTGGGTGCCTGGGTGGCTCAGTGGGTTAAGCCTCTGCCTTCGGCTCAGGTCATGATCCTATGGTCGAGTCCCACATCGGTCTCTCTTAAAAAAAAAAAAAAAAAATCCTGTGTTGGGGACAGAAAGCCTATCTGTGGACCAGAGGCATTTAAAAACAAATCAATCATTCCTAAGAGTTCTGTGATGCGTGGTGGCCTGGTGTCTTCACGTCCCAGTGGACACGGACACCCTCGCCTGATCCTACTCCATGGTGCAAATCCTAGCTGTCTGGGCTCACTCTGCAGTGAGGAGCCGGAACTTTTCTAGCCGGTTCGCCATGGCTAGACTCTGTCGTTCCCCAGTTAGTGTGGTCAGCAGCACTGCAGTGAGCCTCCGGGTGTGGCCTCTCTGGGGAGTGTTGCTGACACATGGTTTTGGGGGGAACAGCAGGCACCTCCCCCCCGATGGTGACCCTTTTCCTGGGTTGGTGGATTTCATCCCATGCTGCACCAAGCAAGTTACCATCTTTTTTTTTTCTTTTTAAGATTTTAAAAATTTATTTGACAGAGATCACAAGTAGGCAGAGTCAGGCAGAGAGAGAGGAAGGGAAGCAGGCTCCCTACTGCTCAGAGAGCCTGATGCGGGGCTCAATCCCAGGACCCTGAGACCATGACCTGAACTAAAGGCAGAGGCTTTAACCCACTGAGCCACCCAGGCACCCCTAAGTTACCATCTTTTTATCCCGACATGTAAGGTGTTACAGGAAAACAAAGGGCTTCCGTAAAGACCGGATTTGTATACACTCTGTCAGCCCGTAATTCACATTAGACATGAGTGGGCTCCTCCCTGCCCCTCCCCGCGGAGTTGGCCTCTGCTCCTACCGTCCTACTCATGGACAGGGGCTGCCTTTTTGAGAAGTTCCCATAAATGGTGCCACGAGTACTTGCTGTCGTGTTTGATGTGTTCCCCCCCGCCTCCCGCCCCCAGCGCCATGTCTGGACCCCATTTGTGTTGCTTTGTGCGTTGTGGTCTGTCCCTTCTCTTGCTACAGAGTGGATTTCGTTGTATGAGCATTACTGGGCTTGTCACCAGGGGCAGAGCCGGTGGTGGAGGAACCGGCTGGCTTCCAGGGCCCCATCTGCTTACTCTAGGATCCCCAGACTGCCGCCCCCTCCCCTCCAGGATGCTGGCAGCTGCCATAGCTGTTCAGAGCCGTGGGCCAGCCTGGGTCAGTCCCATGGGCCCTGCTGATTCTCTGCTGGGTGTTTTGCAGTTTGTGGACGCAGACAACCTGATCCTCAACCCGAACACACTAAGCCTCCTCATTGCTGAGAATAAGACGGTGGTGGCCCCCATGCTGGATTCGCGGGCTGCATACTCCAACTTCTGGTGCGGGATGACCTCCCAGGTCAGGGGGCTGCTGGGGGAGGGTGGGGGCCGGGAATGGTGGGGGCAAGCGAATGGGGACTGTGGCTGGAGCCCAACTTCCCATACCACCTCATGGTAGGCCCTTTACAACACCATCCTGGTAATCCTTAACTAGCTCCTTGATGGAAGGTCTATGATTGTGCCCTCTCCTCCCCATTCCCTTCCCAGTCACTGAGGGAGAGACAGAAACGCAGGGAGAGAGAACTTGACTTGCCGGAGTTCACACAGCTAGAAAGCCATGGTGCCAGGTAGGACTTCAGGCACAGCTTGATCCAGGTGTTCAAACAACTTTCCCATCTTCCTCCATCTTTTGGGTGGCTTCATTGTCAGACTCTGGGAGTACAATCCTAGCACCATCCAGCCAAAGTCCACTTTGGGCCTTGTCCAGTCTCCTCCTACACCGGAGCCAATTCCCGAAGCCAGGAAAATGCCAGGTTCTGATTGACTGATTCTGGGCCGGTAGTCCCACCCCAGCGTTGAGGCTGGGATTGCAGGCAACACCAGGAGGAGTGCAAGGGTAGGCGCTGGAGTGGGGGTCATGCCAGAGCCAGGACCCCCTCCTGTCTCCTCCTGTCTTTTTAATTGATGTGTGATTTACATAATAGGAAACTCACCCTCTTAAAGTGAACACTTCAGTAGTTTCTATTTTAAAAAAAATATGTCACGGAAATCTAAATATTACACTCTAACAATTCCAGTTTGTAAAGGTATGATGAAGAGAGAGAACAACTTAAGATGGTTAAAACTTCTTTTTAAAAAGATTTCGCCCCGTGTTTCTTGAAGTCCTACTTCTGATGTTCAGTCCTGTGTAAATCAAGGAATCGCAAATATCTGGTCCCTTTCGCAGCTTGCTCATTTCCTCCAAGAGCTGCCTTTCTGATCTGAAGTGTTGAGCTAGGTCTGCAGGTGGGCACACAGCTGTGGCCCTTCCTTCCTCGGCCCCCACCCTACTGCCTGTGGCTCTGGATGTGGGGGACAAGCCCTGACCACCCCCAGAGTTCTGGACTCAGGGAGAGCCCACCACAGCCAGAGGTTGGCATCTGGGTCCTGCTCTCTAAGTGTTCCATGCCTCCCCTTGTCCCAGGCCTCCAGCCTTACCTCTAGGATCCCCCCCATAGAGCTGCACCCTCCCCCCCACAGGGCTACTACAAACGTACCCCCGCCTACATCCCCATTCGCAAGCGGGACCGCCGGGGCTGCTTTGCTGTTCCCATGGTGCACTCCACCTTCCTCATTGACCTGCGGAAGGCAGCGTCCAGGAACTTGGCGTTCTACCCTCCTCACCCTGACTACACCTGGTCCTTTGACGACATCATCGTTTTTGCCTTCTCCTGCAAGCAAGCAGGTGAGCCCACAGAAGGTTCCCAGAAACCAGAACTGCAGGGTGCAGGGATGGTTTCAGGTGTAGCTGTATCCAGGTGTTCAGGTGATGTCCCCAGTAGTCCATTTCTTCCAGCCCCCACTTCGACGGGTCACTTCGATCCTCTTATCTTTAAGACCTCTTTATTGGAGGTTATTTTCACCTTGATAGTCTCCTGTGTTCTCCCAGTTTTCTGTAGTTGAGCATAATTATTCGCTAAGTATACAGTTAGGGAGGAAACATTTTTAAAAAGAAAGAACACAGCCATAGCTGGCCTCTCATTTTTTTTAAAACCGTGGTTCGGCGAACAATGGCCCATGGCCCAAATCTGGCCCACCATCTGTTTTCCTGTAGCCATAAGCCAAGTATGTCTTGGGTTCCTGGACCTAATTCTATCTTGAGTGTGTGCGTTGGTGGGGGCGACTTCCCCACACCAACAAGCCATTGTCTCTGTAAGACAAGCAGGGTATCTTCCAATTCAACTCACTTCTGACAGTCTTTCCAGGGATAGTGTCAGATCGCACAGGTTGGGGGGGTGCTCAGTCGGACAACACTGTCTGCCACCCCAACTTCAGATGCTGGCCACAAACCCACATGCTTCTGAGGAACTGGCCATAAACCTAAGGCTCCCAAGACACTCTCCTTGGGGTCTGTTACTTTGTAAAAGCAGCTCACAGAATTCAAGAACCCCATTTACTCGCCAGATGCCTCGGTTTAGTCTAAAAGGCTCTAACTCAGGAGCAGCCCTGGGGAAGAGATGCGGTATGTGGGCTGTGTGAGGTCCAGGGGAAGGGGCGTAGAGCTTCCTTTCCCCCTCCAGGCTCTAGTACATTACTCTCCCCACACCCCACATGTTCACCAACTCGGAACTGCTGGAAATTCCATCCTTTTGGGTTTTTATGGAGGCTTCTTTACGTAGACATGATTGATTGGATCATTGGCTCTCAGCAATCCAACCTCTAGCTCCTCTCCCCTCCCCAGAGACAGGAGGGGTAGGACTGAAAGTTCTAGCCCTCTGTTCATGGCTGATTCCCCTTGGCAACCAGTGTCTGTTGGGGGAGGGAGGTTCCTCTTTAAGTGCTTTCCAGAAGTCACTTACTAATGTGAGAGACACCTCTAAGCTCTCAACATTTAGGAAATTCCAAGGATTTTGGGAACTGAGCCCGGACCTGTGGATGAAGACCAAATATATACGCCAAGTCTGTATTTGGTCATCTGAACAGGAAAAAAAAATGAAAAGAAGGCTAATACTTTGTGACATCTGAAGATTGTATAAGATTCGAATCTCAGTGCCTATAAAGAAAGTTTCATCAGCACGCAGCCACGCCCATTCACTGGAGCCTCATTTCTGGCTGCTGCTGCGTTCCAGCTGCAACTGAGTCATTGAGATAAACCGTCTGGCTCATAAGTGTAAATATTGACCATCTGGCCCTTGACAGAAAAAGTTAACCAGTTCAAGTGGAAATCATTCTTCATTGGGTTTTTCACTTAAAAAAGAAAAGATATGCATAAAATCTTAAACCATCCAAAAAGGGCAAATGCAGATGGAGGTGCTGTTGCTTCTGTCTGGGTCAGCCGCATCTCCTTTTCCTGCCTCACTGGACCTCTGCGCTGCCCTCCCTGGGGTTGTGCGGTTGGCCGTGTCTCGGAACCCCGCGGGGGATCATGGCAGTGGCCGTGCGAGGCGCTCATTAACAGCTCTGGAGTTTCCCCAGGCCAGCCTGGCAGCTGGGGAGCTGAGGAGTCCCCGACAGGTGCCGGGAACAGGGGGGACCTGGTGAGGTTCTAGGCTCACCCTCAGTGGTGCGTCTGGTTTCTGGGAGCCGCTGTTGCCTCGTACCATTTTTCACTTTGCATTGTTGTTCCCTTGGCCGCAGAGGTCCAAATGTACGTCTGCAACAAGGAGGTGTACGGCTTCCTGCCTGTGCCGCTGCGGTCACACAGCACCCTCCAGGATGAGGCAGAGAGCTTCATGCACGTGCAGCTGGAGGTCATGGGTGAGTCCCCAAACATGGAGGGCTGAGTCACCTCCCTTTCTCTACCACCTTGCCTCTGTCCCATCTGCTGTGTGCCAGTCCCTTGGCTGGGAGCGGGGGACTCGGCACGAACAAGGTGGATGGTTGTCCCTGCTCTTGGAAACAGCTGTGCGCAGCATCCTGAGAGCAGTCAGGATGGGCTCCCGGGAAGAGGAGGAATGAAGATGCACGGTGGGTAGGAGTTAGCCGGGAAGAGAATTACAGGGGGCGGGAGCAGCACGGGCAAAGGTCAGGAGGCTGGAGGGGACGTGAGCTCAGAGAACGGCCAAGATTGATGGGACAGAAATAAAGGTGGCGAGCTGGGCAGAGCTGACAGGCAGGGCCAGCACAGGGGCCTTTGACACCAAGCTGAGGAACAGAGCTTTTGCCCAAAGGCAGCTGGGAGCTATAGAGGGTGTGAGAACAGAAGGGGCAGCAGGTTTTCACTGGTGGACCTTCATTGTGCATGGCAGTGTCTGGGACTCCACCATTTCAAGCTGTGTCCTCATCCATGCCTCTGCCAAACCCAGACCCAGCATTATTTAATACTTATCTTAAGCAGACACTGTTTTCCCCCACTTGAATACATTTAAAAAAGGAAACTAGGAATTTTTTTAAAAGATTTTATTTATTTATTTGACAGACAGTGAGAGAGGGAACACAGCAGGGGGAGACGCAGAGGGAGAGAGAGAAGCAGGCTTCCTGCTGAGCAAGGAGCCTGACCTGGGGCTCGATCCCAGGACTCTGGGATCATGACCCGAGCTGAAGGTGTACTCTTAATGACTGAGCCACCCAGGTGCCCCGGAAACTAGGTACTCTAGTGGGCCCCTGAGATAGGACAAGCACAAAGGGCTGGGCTGCCACCAAGGTTGTTTGAGGAGGGGGCTCCTGTTCCTGCTGGGGCTCTCCAGAGACACCACACAGTGTCTCCTGTGAGGGCCTCGCCCAGTGCTGGCCACGCACATCCCCCAGAAGGCCTCTGAGGCAGCGTGGCCTTTCCTCCCACTGCACAGACAGGGAGGAGCCCTGCTCCTTTAACCTTTCCCACGGTTAAACCTCTCTCTGGAAAGTTCTAAGACACCCCCTGGTGGCTGAAGATGGAATGGCACCCTGCCCTCTGTTTTGGGGGGGACATTTAGGTACTTTGAGGTGACCCCTGCAGGTTGCATGGTCACCAGGGTGAAGACCCCTGTAGTACCTGAGTGTTTGTCACACACAGATGCCCAGGCCTGGTCCAGCAGCCCCACCAGGCCACACTCACAGAGGGGGCTTTCTGTCTTCACCAGTTCCAGCCGGTGACTGGCCCCTGAGAAATGTCTCACAGGCTGCCAGAGTTTTCCTACTTGATTTTATTATTTTTTTAAATGTTATTTTTATTTATGTATTAATAAATTTTATTTTTATTATTTTCTATTTTTTGAGAGTGAGCGAGAAAGCACGCATGAGAGCAGGGGCGGTATGGAGGGAGAGGGAGAGAGAGACTCTTATACTGTCTCCACAGCTAGCAGAGCCCAATGCAGGGCTCTCATGAGGACATGACCTGAGCCAAAATCAGGCGTCAGGTGCTCCACCAACTGAGCCACCCAGGCTCAGTTAGGAAGTATTAGAACCTGACGTCACCAGAGGAGTGAATATTTTCCTATGTCTCGAGGGCCAGAGCAAAGCCTACAGAACAGACAGAAGGAGGGTCTGGGGGTTTCAGATATTCGTGTAAATCCTTCCTTCCGGTCTGAGTGAAGACTGTATTTTTCTCTCCATCCCTGTGTGGGTACCTGGACCCCGGCTGTGCATGTGATTTTTCATGCGTTCAAAAGTCTGTCCAGTGATGCAATTTCAGGCTTGCAGGAAGGCTCAGTGACGTCCCCAGGGCTGGGGGATCCTGCCGCCTGCTTCCTTCCTCCCCACCCCGCTCGTGGACAATGGAACATCTTTCCTCATCTCCTGGTAACCCTTGCTCTTACACTCGGGGTTTATTACAAGCAAAAGGATGCAGGTTACAACTGGCAAAGGGAAGGGGTGTCTGGGGTGGCGACCCAGAGAGTTCTGTGCATGAACTTCCGGGTGCCCCCCGTCTGTGGAGTCGTGTGGACAGCTTTCAGTTCTCCCAGCGCCCTGTATGGCCACGCACATGGTGTACTGCCATCCAGGGATGCTCCCTAAGCCTCAGGGTCCAGGCTTTTTACTGGGGCTAACTCACATGGGCGTGGCTGACTGCCTCTCTAGCCCCTGCAGGGGGCGAGCTGATCCCACATGGCCCAAGTCCCCTCCCCTAAATCACACTGTTGGCATAGACCACCCAGTGTGGCCCGAGAGCCCAAGCAAACAAAGATAGTCCTGTCAGGCAGAATGTTCAGAGGGCTTCCACCTCTCAGGCTCTGAGGACAAAGGCCGGATGTCTTTTTGGGCGGGTTTGATTATTCACCCCCACAATGGGTCTGGAGGTGTTTGGTTTTTATAATCACTGTGCTGTGACTTTTCTGGAAAGGCCGCATTGCTTTGCTCCTTCTGGATGCCTGCTGTGCTCCGTCTTCCCCAGAACTGATGACAGTGGGGAGCTCCTCCCCACCCAACAGGCGGCCTTGTTGCCCTCCGCACCCCGCAATGGAGGGGCAGAAGCTCAGAAGGAGAAGGGAAAAGGCATCCGGAGTTTGAACCTGGGTGCTCAGATCCCAGCATCTTGCTCTCGGTCTCCAGCTCCCCCAAGAGGATGGGGGCGGGGGGTGGCCAGAGCCGTGAAGAGCCCGGGACAGGAGGAAACCCCAGGATGCGGTGTTCCTGGGGGGCCCAGGTTGGCTTTGGGCCGTGCCCCAGCCTGTCGCAGACAGAGGGGCCTGTGTCTCTCCCTCGGGCTCACACGGGGCCTTTATTCTCCATGGGGCAGATGGCACACTCACCTTCAGGCTGGGCTCCTCTGGGTCAGCCTCCCCAGCCTCCTCTCCACCCGTGGAGCTGATCCTTCTGAAGGAAGCTGCCAGGGTCGTGCCAAAACAGGGCCCTGGAGATGTGGTCTGAGCCCTGCTGACAGCAGCTGGCGCGTTGTGGGGGGCTCGTGGCCACTCTGAAATTCTTGCCATACTTTGGCTTATAGACATGCCACTCCAGTCCCACGGTCACCTTCTGCAGGTGTATCTCTGTGGTCTCCCCTCTGCGTGCGTGGCTGGATCCAAGTTGCGCATTTTGATAAGGACCCCAGTCACTCTTTTCACTTGGTTGTCTCTGTAAAGACCTTATTTCCAAATAAGATCACGTTCTGAGGTACTGGGGGTTAAGATTCCATCCTGTTGGGGAGGACACGATTCAGCCCATAATGTGCATCATTTCATGGCATCTCCTGAAACCTCTGGGAGGAGGAGGAGTTTTTTGTTTTTTTTTAAGATTTGATTTTATTTTAAGATTTTTATTTATTCGTCAGAGAGCAGAAGCACGGAGAGCTACGGGCAGAACAGGGAGAGCAGGCAGAGAGAGAAGCAGGATCCCCGTCGAGCAAGAAGCCCGATGTGGGACTCGATCCCAGGACACTGGCATCGTGACCTGAGCCAAAGGCAGACTCTCAACTGACTAAGCCACGCAGGCGTCCCGAAGAGGAGGTTTTTAAAATTGGAGTCCTGGGGCACTTGGGTGGCTCAGTCAGTTGAGCATCAGACTTTGGTTTCAGTTCAGGTCATGATCTCAGGGTCCTGAAATTGAGCCCCGTGTTGGGAATCCATGCTCTGTAGATTCTCTGAGAATCTCATGCCTGAGATTCTCTCTCTCCCTCTGTCCCTCACTACCACCACCCCCACTCAAGCACACTTTCTCTCTCTCAAGTAAATAAATCTTCAATAAAATAAAATTGGAGTCTCTTGATAGATGAAGAAAGCCAAGGCCCCAGTAGGTTAAGGTCACACAGTTTGCCATCATTTTTTTGTTCATTCTCTGAGTAACTATTGAGTGCCTGCTGTATACCAAGCTTTGGGCACTGGGGACTCAGTGCGAGTGGACAGACGTGGTGTCTGTCCTGCAGTGCTTGTGGCAGACAGATAGAAAGCCAGGGAGGTGGGCTCACAGGATTGGGGTTTGATGATGGAAGGCCAGATGCTGTGGGAGCCAGGAGGAGGTATCCTGCTCCAGCTCAAGAGGGCATCTTAGCTGAGAACTCAGGAGAAGGAGGGGAGGAAGGAAGGTGTTTCATGCAGAAGTCCAGCATGTGCAAACGTCCTGAGGTAGGAGGGGGTGCATTTGGGGGCAGTGCCAACAGCCAGAGTGAGTAGGTGCAACATCGTCAATGATTCCAGGCTAAGGAGCTTAGGGGGATGGGGGTCCCAGAGGGGATGGGGAAAGGAAGGGACACTGGAGGCTGGAGCTCCTACCCCCATGACCCCACTGACACCCTGGCTTCTGTCTGCCTCACAGTGAAACACCCACCGGCGGAGCCCTCCAGGTTCATCTCCGTGCCCCCCAAGATGCCTGACAAGATGGGCTTCGACGAGGTGAGCCAGGCTTACCCCAGTGGGTGGGGGCGGGGCGGAGGCAGGGGCCCGCCTGGAGGGTCCGACGACGGGAGCTCTGGGCCCGCAGGTCTTCATGATCAATCTGAAGCGGCGGCAGGATCGGCGGGAGCGCATGCTGCGGGCCCTGCAGGCGCAGGAGATCGAGTGCCGGCTGGTGGAGGCTGTGGACGGCAAGTGCGTCCTGAGTCCCTCCCGGGGGTGGCGGGGGGTGGGGGGCGGGCTTGTGGCTGTTGGAGCGGGTGGGCAGGGCACCTGGGTGTAGACGGCTCCCAGGCAGGCACTGTCGCATACGTCTTACTCTGACCCCCTCCCTCCCGTCCCCGCCTCCAGAGCCATGAACACCAGCCAGGTGGAGGCATTGGGCATCCAGATGCTGCCCGGCTACCGGGACCCCTACCACGGACGGCCCCTCACCAAGGGCGAGCTGGGCTGCTTCCTCAGCCACTACAACATCTGGAAGGAGGTAGGTCGGGCGAGGAAGGGCAGGGCTGACCTCAGGCTTCCGGCCACCCAGGGAGGGACTCGCTGGCGCCCCCTGCAGGCTTCTGGGATTTCAGCAGGACACAGGGCCTCGGTTCAGAGAACCCTTCACCGGGATGTCACAGCAGCCTGGATGGGCAGCTGCTGTCCTTCCGTTGTGCAGATGGGGAAGCAGACGAGGGAGGCAGGGATGTGCCCAGCTCCCATAGAAAGTGGGGTCTCAGACCCAGGACCTCCAAGTGAGGCCCCTTCCCACACTGCTGCTTTCACGGGTCTTTGGAGCCTGGACTCCGTGCTCAACACTTACCAGTAGAAGTGACAGCCACGGGGATAGTCAGCAACGCTAACCCCACACCGGGGTCTCGTCGGCCACTCTCAGAGGCCGAGATTCAAACATGGAGCCACCAGGCAGCGGGCCAGACGGGGTGTCTGGGCGTTTGAGGTGACGGGTCCTCTCTTCCTGAGTGAGGTTTATCGTGGAGGGCGTGGGGCCGGGGTTCCTGTATCCAGGCGGCCTGACCTGGGTTCAAGCCAAGCCCTGCCTCACAGAGGGGTGAGCTCTGTGAGCGAGGAGGGCGCCCTGTTCTTGAAGATGACAGTCAACCTCCTCAGTCTTGAGGCTTCTCAAGTGCCTTTGGGGACACCCATGTACCTGTTGTGCATCCGGCCTGGTGCTGGGAGCGGGACAGCCACCAAGACAGATGTGGGTCCTGGCAGGGGGCTCACAGCCCTGGGAGATGGGGACTCTGATGGCAAACCACAGTAACCTAAGTGTGACGCACCCACACAGGGATGAATTGTCCTCAGCTGACAGCTGTGGCCAGTGGTCAGGGAGGGCCTCCTAGGTGACCTCTGAGCCCAGGCCTCAAGGCTGGGGGCCAGCCTGCCACTGTGCTGCGGCGGGGGGTGGGCACTCTGCGTCAGCGTTGGCACAGGCACAGGCCCTGGGGTGGGAAGGAGCAGTCAGGCCAAGGGCAAGGCCAGGGCACCTATCGCCAAGTGTGCAAGGAGCTGATGGCCAAGAGGTCGATCCCGATGTTGGTGGGGAAGGCTTGTGTTTGCTTCTCTCCTGCAGCCCCAGGGCCTTGAAGCAGAGCTGACTTTTGGGTCAGGTCTGGCCTTGGTCCTCATCTGATGTGGGCAGGGCATCCTCCCTCAGGTTGTGGACCGCAGGCTGCGGAAGTCACTTGTCTTCGAGGACGACCTGCGCTTTGAGATCTTCTTCAAGAGACGCCTGCTCAACCTCATGCGGGACGTGGAGCGGGAGGGTCTGGACTGGGACCTCATGTGAGCGTGGGCCAGGGCTGGTGGTGCTGCCTGGACCCCTGGGTGGCACTGGGGTGGGGCCGGGGCTCCGGGGCTCGGTTTGGAGTGGGTGGAGCTGCAGTCTGGACCTGGGAAGTGAGGCCTAGAGCCTGGAGGTCTGAGGGCCTTTGCAGGCTAATAGGCCGCACCAACTCACAGGTGTGGCGGGAGGGGACTCGGGTGTAGCCTGTGGTCCCTGGATCCAGAGAGCACTCAGGGTTTAGCCTAAGGCCTGGGGGGTAGGGCCTGTGGCCTGTGAAGATGACCTGGAAATCTAGGGACCTGGCCTGTGGGGAGGGGGCTCGAGAGGGCTTGGAGGCTTGAGGAGTCCTGGAGGGGATGGGGTTTGCCTGAGATTTGAGGTGGAAGCCTGTGCTCAGGGCTGAGGATCTGGGGCTGTGCCCAGAAGCTGGGGGCGTGGCCAGGAAGCCTGGGTCTTAGACCAGCAGTAGGTAGGATGTGGCCAGCATATTTCTGGACAGTCCTTTGGAATGTCCCCTAGGTGAGTTGGTTCGTCCCCTGGGCCCACGGTGTACAGGGCCCTGATGCAGGTGCTGGGCCCCAGACTCTGGACTGTGCTAGTCATAGTACTGGGAGCAATACCCCTTCCTCCCCAGCCACTCACCACATTTGTGCACGTTGCCCAGCTGCCACAGCTCTCTGAACTCAGAACAGCTTCCCTCCTAGCCCCAGTCCTTCTGTGGTTCAACCTCAGAGTGTCCAGGACGTCCTCCCCTTCTGAGCTTCAGATCCTCCCATGGCTCCCTAGTACCCTTGGGAAAAACACGGTCTCCTCCCTGAGGTCCTCCGTGGTCCGGCAGCCACCCCTGCCTCCTGGCTGCTCTCCCACACGCGCCCAGCCTGCTCCCACCCCAGGGCCTGGCAGAGGCTCACTCGATCTCATACTCGCTCAGTTAGCATCCTCCGTGGGGGCTTAGAGGGTGACAGGACCCTGACTCTGCACCCGCAGCTACGTGGGCCGGAAGCGGATGCAGGTGGAGCACCCGGAGAAGGCCGTTCCCCGCGTGAGGAACCTGGTGGAGGCAGATTACTCCTACTGGACGCTGGCCTACGTGATCTCCCTGCAGGGCGCCCGCAAGCTGCTGGCCGCCCAGCCGCTCTCCAAGATGCTACCTGTCGACGAGTTCCTGCCGGTCATGTTTGACAAGCACCCAGTGTGAGAGGGGCAGGCCGAGGGTCTGGCCTGGGTCGGTGGGAGGGGTGGACCCCCGGTCCTGTGGCTTTCCCTCCCACTCCTTCCTCGGTGCCTGTCCCCCCTCCTGCCCCGCCCACTTCTGTCTCAGTCTGTCCCCTCCCACGTCCCCCTTGGTCAGGACTCCCAACCCATGGCGGCCCCCCTTGCTCCCCCACACCCCCAGGTCCGAGTACAAGGCCCACTTCTCGCCCCGCAACCTGCGTGCCTTCTCGGTGGAGCCCCTGCTCGTCTACCCCACGCACTACACGGGGGACGATGGCTATGTGAGTGACACGGAGACCTCGGTGGTGTGGAACAACGAACACGTGAAGACCGACTGGGACCGCGCCAAGTCCCAGAAGATGCGGGAGCAGCAGGCCCTGAGCCGTGAGGCCAAGAACTCCGACGTGCTGCAGTCGCCGCTGGACAGTGCGGCCCGCGACGAACTCTGAGCGCTGGAGGCCGAACCGCCAAAGCCGGCCTCACTGGCGCAGCCCGACCTCTGTAGGCTGCGGAGGGCTCTCCCCTCCAGGCAGTATGCAGCCGGCTTGGCTCGGCTCTGGCTCAGCAATCACGTGCACGCAGGCAGCTTTAATGGAGTGCCTACTGTATGCCGGGAATGGGGCTTGGCACTAGGGCATCAGAAGGGAACCAGACCTCGTTCCTGTCTTCAGGTGCCGAACACTTGGAAGTCCTCACTGGGTACCAGGCTTCCGCGTTTGGCAGTGGATGGGGCATAATTATTCCTTCAGCTAGTGACCGATTGGTCCATCAAGCTTTTGTTGATTCCCCCCCCACCCCAAGAATCAGCACTAGTGATACACAGTCATCGTTTTAATGCATTGAAGTATTTATTGAATGCCTGCTGTATGTCGGGCACCAAACATTGTGGGCTCTGGGAATACTGGGATAAACAAGATACTTTCATTCATTTCTCCGAATACCTACGAAGTACCCACCATGTGCCTGGTACTTGGGACACAAAGACAAGTTCTTATTAACTCAGAGCATTTATTGAGTGCCTACTGTGTGCTGGGAACTGAGCTTGGTGCCGGGGTGAAAATCAACAAGGTGCTTTTCACTCTTCAGTTGGCTTCTTCCGCACACGTGTAGAGGGCACCCGCTGGGGGCCGGCATTAGTGAAACCAAACAGCATATCCTGTGCTGGGTCAGGACATCAGACGACCCTCCTGCGTGCAGGGCCGCGTTCTAAGGGCTGGGCCACCCAAATGAACAAGATGAATCTTATTTTTCCTTGCAGCAGGCGTTGATGGAGCGCCTACTGTGTACCAGACCTCGTGGACTCCCCGTGAGACTGGAGAATTGTTGGCTGAGAGTTTGATCCCTGCCTGCCGTGCTCTCCCCCCCCTTCCCCCCAACCCTGGTCACCCAAGCTGTGTGCAGACAAAATCCCCACCACCACCCAGGAGGGAGGGTGGCTCTCCCCTCACCAGGGACAACCGCAGTTCCTAGCGACCACACAGCCACGAGCAGGCTTCCCTGGACCCAGCCCCCCTGGCGGGGGCAAGGGATAAAGACAGGGGCTGGGTCTCCTGTGCTCACCCCTGCTCCCGTGTTGACTTGTCATCCCATCTGCTTGACCTCCCTGCCCTGCGTCTCAGGCGTGGGCTCTGCTCGCTCCATGGGGTTCCTGCATTCAAGCCTTTGGTGGGCTTGTGTGTTTGGGGCTCTGCGGGGGCTCGGCTGCACCAGGGTACTGCCCGGGGCCTGGGCCGGTGCTCCCGGGCTTGGGCTGGGGGACTTGCTGTGCCTCCAGCCGGGAATGAATGTCCTAGCCGGCCAGCAGTGCTTTGCTCTCTTACGGACACCTGCTCACTGGGTCGGGTCCTGGATAACTTGCTTATTTTTTTTATTAAACGTTGCTGGTTGGTTTTCACATCAGTGTGTCCTTTTCTTGGTCCACTGCATTGCTCACCACCAACACCTGCTCACACTTCCCACACCCCCAACTGCTGGGCAAGACATGGGAGAAGGTGAGGGCCAGCCAGGCGCTGGAGGGAAGCCCACTGGTGGAGGGAGTGTGGGGTGAGGCTGGTGTGAGCCCCGTTTCCGGCCTACCCCGCCCCATAAAACCTCCCTGAAATAGCCCAGGGACAGCTGACCCACCCCGCGCCAACTGCAGGATCGTCTCCGATGACAGGAGGAGAGACGCTGTCATATTCTGGGGCCTCCAGAAAACAGACTCCCAAGATGAGGATTTGAGTTGTCCCAGACGTGACCCCAGGAAGCCACGATATGGGTGGGGACGTGAGACGAGGAGAGAAGGAGCCCTGAAGGAGGCCCCCATGAGCAATTGAGTCTGGGCCGCTGGGGACCGCGGGAGAGAGCAGGGAGCATGCGCCTCTGAGGGGTCCCGCCCCAGGGGCAATGGAGGCGGGGCATTTAGCCACACCCAGCTCCTCGTCAAATACTGGAAGGTTCTCAAGATCCTTCAGCCCTTGGAGCGTGTGGGTGCACACCCAAGCCTTTTACAAAATAACACAGATGGCGTGTGATCCTTGTGGAAGAATTAGAACATACAGCTAAGCAAACTGAAAAGGCCCAGTTAAATCCTATATCCTCAGAGAAGACAACAATGAACATTTTGGTGAAAAAACCTTCCAGTCTCACCCATGTGCAGGGTGCAAATATACACGCGTATTCAAAAAGAGGATCGTGTTCCATATACGGATTCGATTCCCCACCCGACCTCCCGTCCGACTCTACACATTTTTATTCCATAAACATGGGATCCATTGGCACTCGGTTTTTCAGCAATTTTCTTTTTTAAATTTAACAACATATTGTGGACGTTCTAATCGGGGCAGACTCCTATGAATTCCTCATGGATTGTCACATACAATGTTCAGCGATGGTGACAGACTGCCCTTCATGTGGCCGTTCTGACCCCAGACAGTCACCGCCCGACCGAGAGCCGTGTTACACGTCCCATTCTTCCTGCTGGAGTTATTTCTGTTGGGTGAGTAGATGCAGGTGAAAATGCTGGATTCACGTGTGTGCACGGCTCATTTCATGCGGCTACCGTATTTACCCTTCTTACCGTATTGACCCTCTTTGCTCGATCTTGTCTGTTCGTGTGTTTATGGAGGTGGATGATGCCAATTTATTAACCTCCCATAGAACGTTGGAGTCATTTCTCATGTGTTCCAGTTATGTGGGACGTTTCTAAATCTTATTTTAACCCAGTGAATGTCACCTGGGGTGTTTTTGTTCCTCGAAACATCGGGTGACGTTTGGAGACGTTTGTGGTTGTGGTGACTGGGGGTGGTGCTATTAGAAGGGGGGGGCAGGGATGCCCCCGCATGTCCTCAAGGGCACAGGGCAATCCCCTGACAAAGACTGGTTTGGCCTCAGAGTCCACAGGGCTCTCGTTGAGAATCTTGTGCCAGTCCCATTCAGCCTCTTGGGGACCTGAGTCTGTGACATGAAGTGAAGCTTCCTTTGCTACAAAATCTCTCTAAAACAGATTCTCAGGCTCTGCTTCCAGACTGAAGGGGTTAAAAGCTTAGAGGTGATGACTGGGAATCCCAATTTTATTCTACTTTTTAAAAAATATTTTATCTATTTATTTGACAGAGAGAGCCACAGCGAGAGAGAGAACACAAGCAAGAGGAGAGGGAAAGGGAGAAGCAGGCCTTCTGCCGAGCAGGGAGCCTGATCCCAGGGTCCTGGGATCGAGCCCAGAGCAGAAGGCGGATGCTTAATGACTGAGCCACCCGCCCCCCCACCAATTTTATTCTAAATAAAATCTCCAGAAGTCATATCCTTCCTTCTGGAATATATACATAGACAGATAGATATCTATATCATCTATCTATTTATCTATCTATATATATATATATCATCTGATATATGTATGTTTCCATGTTTCCACTGAGATATATATATATATATATGTGTGTGTGTATGTATATATATACGTGTGTGTGTGTGTGTATATATATATATATATAATCTCACAAGTTATATTCAGAAGTCTGAAATCAGTTTCACTTGGGTATAGTCAAGATGTCAGCAGGGTTGGTTCTTCCTGAAGGATCTAGGAGAGATTCTATGTTCTCGTTTTTTTCCAGCTTCTGGAGATTGCTGGCATGCCTCGACTCACAGCCCCTTCCTGTATCTCCCCAATCCCTTGCTTCTGTCATCGCATCTTCTACTTCTTCATCTGACCTTCCATCCCTCTTACAAAGACCCTTGGATTACACTTAGGGCCCACTTGGATAATCCAGGATAATGTTCCCATCATCTCAAGATCCTCAATCACTTTTACAATGTTCCTTTTGCCATTCCCACGTGTCCTTCCACAGGGGCCATGCTAAGCTTCTCTATATCCTTCCGATTTTTAGCATATGTGCTGCCAAAGCCAGCGCTCCTTTTGTCATTTGAAGTAATAGTCACAGGGGCGCCTAGTGACTCAGTCAGTTAAGCATCGGACTCTTGTGCTCGCTCAGGTCTTGATCTCAGGGTTGTGAGTTCAAGCTCCCTGTCGTGGAACCTATTTTAAAAAAAAAGTAACATTCACAAATTCTGGGCAATGGAATGTGGGTATCTTTGATGGAGGCTTTATTTAGTCTACCGTATTCATACTTTTAGCAGGCTGTAATTGTGGCTGGGTCTATGGATGTGTCATAATTTCTTATGTATCATAATGTAGCATAGCAGTCAGAATTAAGGGTGGGTAACAGAAACCACTTGAAGCGTTTTTTTTTTTTTTTTAAGATTTTATTTATTTATTTGACAGAGATCACAAGTAGGCAGAGAGGCAGGCAGAGAGAGGAGGAAGCAGGCTCCCCACTGAGCAGAGAGCCTGATGCGGGGCTCGATCCCAGGACCCTGGGATCATGACCTGAGCTGAAGGCAGAGGCTTAACCCACTGAGCCACCCAGGCGCCCCGCGTTTTTGTTTTTTTTAAGTGAACTGTATGCCCAATGCAGGGCTTGAACTCATGATCTGGAGATCAAGATTCTCATGCTCTACTGACTAAGCCAGCCAGGCACCCCAAAAAACCCCTTGAGGTCTTTTGACACAAAGGGTTTCATATAGGAAATTCACAAAGACTCAACTCTGCTGTTGTAGCATGAGAGCAGCGGAGATGGAGCTGAATGAATGAAGCATGGCCTTGTGCCAGTAAAACTTTATTTATAATAACAGGTAGTGGGCTGGATGAGGTCCAGGGCGCAGAGTTTACCACTCCTGGTGCAGGGGAGCAGGACCAGGACTGATCCTACAGGAATGACTCTGCAGAACCTGCTCACCGGGGGGGAACCGAGGCTCCCTCAAATCAAGGCCGGGTGCAGGAGGTCCTCGACACCTCCGACTTTGGGCACACACCCTGTATCTGCAATCTCGAAACAGAATGCCACCTTTGTGTCTGCCGTGATGGCTTTTCAACCCCCACCAAGTTTGTCACTGGAGAAGGGAATGCAGATTCCAGAACAACAGGTGTTTCCGTGGCTGGCTGCTGGCCGAGAGAAGGGGAAGGAAAAACCAAGACGGCTCTGGCTCTTATGCCTTCCAGACGCCCCCAGGCTTCTCCATAGCCGGACCTGAACATGTGCCCAGCTGTGGGAAACTATGAGCCTGGCTGCAGCTTTGTAGCCTCTGCCTGGAAAGGGGTTGGATCAGGGCGGGTTCTGAAGTCAACCCACCACTTCCTCCTCGTTTATTATTGTACTTTACGGTGATGGAAAGAATGACTGTGTAATTGTAGGATGCATAATCACGGAACCTATTATATGTAATTGCAGCATTAGGAACACAGTAATTATCATGCTATATAATAAATTATGTAATGAAATGTAATCACACATAGATCATGAATCACAGAAATGTGTAACGCCCTCCAGGAAACTGTTTCTTGCTCCCTGGGTGATTGTGCCGTGTTGGCCGGTGGCATGAGGAGATGTGGGGAGACGGGAGTGGGATTAGAGTAGATTAAGGGGTGGGGGCGAGAGCAGGAGGACAGGGTGAGGTTGAGGCTGGGGGTTCAGGGACAGTGGAGGGTGGGGTGAGCATGGGAGTGGTGTTGGAGTTTAGCCACAGGCTAGGGGAGGTGCGGAGAAAGAGGCAAGAGGGGGGAGCTGAATAATGGATTAGGTCAGAAGTTGGCACCCTCTGGCCCAGGGGCCCAAGACCATCCAGCCAACTGTTTTTCTTTTTAATCTTTAAAATGGGGATGAAACTCAGATACTATAAACTTAGCTGTATGCAAGTGGACGATTGCACAGCATTTAGTACATTCACAGTGTTGTGCAGTCATCAGAAATTCCCATCCTCCCAGACTGGGACTCTGTCCCCATTAAACACAAACTCCTGCTCCCCTCTCCGCCCAGCCCCTGTCACCCACTGTC